AATTTGCCCTCTCGGAAGTTTATGCTGCGAACAACGACTAGTAGACGACGACGACGACGACGACTGTGCACTGTGCAGGCGCGTGCAGGGAAAGACGCGCCTAGCTATATATATATACGAGCTACCCACTCAGACAATGTCATTACACGCTTTATTGTGCATTCGGCTGAGCAAACGAGTTATATGTACTCCGTGACACTGACTACAAAATCGTCTCGGTCTCCGGAGTCTTACATATATTGAATTTCGATTTATGTAATATATGTACTCGCGAGTCAATAATATCGTACGCCTGGGCTCATTTGACAATGCTCCAGCCAAGTGGCCCGCTGAGCTTTTCGCTCGAGTCGATACATTTTCCTCTCATTAGCGTAGCTCTGGTATTATAAAGCTTACATTTTTCGTAGTCCCACACAGTCGAGACTGTGCTTGCGGCTTGAGTCTACCTAATCGCATTGGCATTTTGCATTACGTCGCTGTACGACCTGCATACGAGTGTAGTTGCAGCATACAACGCAGCAAACAATTTTTCTTGATAAAAATACATATTTTTGCAAAATTTTCAGAAATTTTTACAAGGCGATATGCACACTTATTAAAAGAAAATTCAATCGATTGACCTTTTGAGCGATTCGAGTTTTTCTCGACTTTTCAATCATACGAAGTTAGAAAAAACGCAAGCTTGAAGGTGAAATGTAAAATAACGAACGCACGTATGTGTCAACATTTTGACATATATTTCTACAGAACGAGTGTCAAGAGCGATTGAAAAGTCGTACGTGCGACGATACTTGATTTATTTATAAAACCTCTTGCATAAAACATAACGAATTGTTTCGAGCCCTTAAGAAATCGCACATTCAAGTCATAAAATCACTGGTACTTTTTCAAAAAGTTAATGTATTTCAATGGTGATGTTACGCGATATTGAATACATGCAAAAGAGACTGCTTTAGAGAAAATCATCTTTGTTAGAAAATTTAAATTTATCCTCGTCAACAGCAATCACTGACATACTTACGCAGGAAAATAGTTACAAAAAGTCGTAAGTTTGTACATTCGAGTAACAGCTATCATGCCAAACACGAAAAGTATCATTGAAACTCTTTCAGATAAATTTTTTTTGTCGACAGCCCCTCATGATCGAGTTATCGTACCTGCATATTGTATTTCATTGTAATAACAGCATCAGCCGATACTTATAATGAGTGCAACGAGCCAAACATTACACTTTGAATAAACAATCAGCTCTAGTAACCTTTAATGTCACAAACGAGACACGAAGAGAGATAAAGAGCAGTGATTTACAAAAAAACAATTATTATGTTAAATAGCGTCAGCACAAAGATAGCATTATCTACAACATAGTACAAATAAATAAATAAATATTTTTTACACTCTTATCTTCTTTGCTTATACTTGAAATGTGAGAATTTTCACTTGTTATCAATGTTTGCTAGTTGTAAAGCGTTCAATTATCCTCGTGATTTATGGGAAGTACTTAAAGTTTACTGTACTCGATACTAATGCCTACACGTTTATACATTAATTACGTTTAGTGAATGAAAATCGAATTTTAATTTCATAAAAACTAACTTGATGGAAAGCAAAGTAAATAAAAAACTTTGTGATGAAAGAAAAATATAAGCAAGCGAGGCAGGCGCGAGAAATAAAAAAAAACCTCGTCTCCGTGGAGTAAAAAGTCGAATTTCGTGTATTGCAAAGGACAAGCCAGACTCTTGTACTTGTGTACACTTCAATTTTCTTCGCAGCTCTGCACGTTCCTCTTTTTCTCTCTTATTCTTTTTCTCTCATCTTTATCATCGGTCATGGTAACGGGAGGATATTGAACTCTCTCGTGTGCAAGTATAAGTGAACGCGTTCCCGAGGTCCAAACATTTTTCGGGCGAGATATTTGCAGCGCGTTGAAGGCATGGCAGGGTCTCGTCGTCGTTGTCGTCTCATCTTTTTTGCCCTCGCGCGCGCGTTTGAATTGAGAATGAGGGGGCCAACATACGTCAAGTTTTTAGCACGTTTTCAGAATGGAATTCATTTACAATGAAGCCAAGGAGTGCGAGGCTTTTTGACAGGCATTCAGCGATAAAGGTGCGAGTCCCAAAGTAAACAACTAAGGAACAATTTTCAGTCGTTGTTTGCTCCCACGTATAATTCAGTTTATTTCCATCTTTTAAAAAGATTCAATTTTTAGACCAGGCAAATTTAGATTTTCTTGTCGCGCGTGGCTCATTGTATTGCAAGTCGCGCGTTCGCAGCTATTCGATCTCGAATATCGAGGCGTATACGCTTTTTTTAAATATGTATGTACGTTCGAGAACGAGTATTTACAGACATTTTCAAACCCTTTTGCGCTAATAAGTAAAAATGTTTAAAAAGGAAAATTCCACACAATTCCTTACAGGTCAATTTCGAAATAATGCTTGACCCAGTTTTTTTTTCCTCGCCTGGTGTACAAGGCATCTATTCACGCTTACGTTTATTCGTATTTGCGTTTATTCGCGCTTACGTATATACGTAATAATAACAATAATAATATATATGCACACGAGCATTTGAAATAAACGTATGTCTGAGAATGTATTGTGCGAGGGAGTGTATATAACAACGATACAGGGTTTGGGTCGCGTTCATTATTATTAGCTGCATGAATAGTGACACGGTGTTATGTATATACTTGCGCGCGAGCAACGAAAAGATTTTTTATTCTCTCTCTCTGGGTTGTATTTGGTAGAGAAATTTTTCTCTCACAAACGTTAAATCGTGGACAGAGGGTTGCAAACAAACGCGCGCAGCAAGCGCAAGCTTGGTACACAACGCAAACGTGAGAATTGTTTTTCAGCCTTAATTCTACAGGCTTTATGGCGCACGCTTCATTTCCCAAAGCTAAAGTATATAAGGGTTACTATGCGCGCTGCGGAAAAAGGAAAAAAGGCCTTTGAAGTTATTTTCGTCGTTAAAAAAACGCGAAAAGAGCTTTAAAAGCGAGACGCGCACAAGGAGAGAGGGCTCTGTCATAATTTAGTCTGGTATTTTATGCAATTTTCTGAAGCGTATTCAAAACAATGACGATACGAGGCGAATCAATTACGTTATGCTCGTTATGCATACACAGTAAAAGTTTTAAATACCACTCGATAATCTCGCAGGCGCATAATGAAACGGCCAATAAAGTTGAGAAATATAGACCCCCTCGCGCGCTCCTTCAAGGATCGAGTTTGTTGAATCGGAGAGTTGACGGCGGTACATTACTCGAATGTATATAGTATGTAGTTTTTACATGGGAAAGGTCGAGTGCTTTTTGCGGAGCTCGAGCTGATGCGAGTAAATTTTTGATGGGGCCTTTTAGTAGATGATGCATTGTGTAGCGTTGTAATAAAAGATTGACGACCTCATTTAGAAAGTTGCTTTTAATCGAGCAGAAAAAAAGAAAGCACCCACATAGAGGTACAGGTAAATATTTTGGATTATAACATTTGAATCATGGCTGTGTATTCGTTCATTATATTGGCCGGGCGGCATGTATGTGTACATGCATTAATTGAAGGTGAATAAATTGTTGGAATTTTCAGGCGTATCTTCTCACTCTCTCTCTCTCTGCAAGCGAACGAATAGAGGTTTTTTTATGGGGCGCCGAGGCATCCCAAGAAAACATCGTTTGTCGAGAGAAAGAGAGAGAGAGAGAGAGCCAAGTTATTCCGGTCAAGTGCATGCATGGGCGTTAAAATAAGCGGCGTGCAAAGACGACACATCTCTCTCGAGGCGTCATTCCGAGAAACAAGCTCAATTTCTCAGCACTAGCCGCGGTTATACGGCTGCTATAATACAGCGAGCTAATATTAATGTAGCAGCGCTCGGAGAGCTCGCGGATATGGGAGGGAATTCGGGCCCCTGGGAGCATGACTGGTCAAGCCTTTTTTCGGAGTCGCTGGACGATTTCGCGCGGCCAGAAAATTGCGGATTCGATCGTTCGTACGCGATACGCGCGCGTTGCCTCATGCTCGTTCGCAGCGAGGAAGTGTGTGTGCAAAAGTATATACCGAAAAAAGCGAATAACAAGCTGCTGCTGCTGCTGCTGCGCTCGAGTATCCGCAGACGCAGACTTTGGCAGCAAGCAGCGTATCGTGTATAAAGAGTCATCGTGCCGATTCAGGATGTAAGTATACACACGACGACGACGACGACTGGCCCGAGTCCATGTGTAAGTGAGTGAGTGAGTGAGTGAGTGTATGTATGTATACGCACGCATTCCGTTGACTGCTAACTCTCGCTCGTTGTCTGTCTCGCGCGTTCATGCTTATATATGCTACTACTATATGGTTTGTAGCGGCGGTGGTGGCGGCGGCGGCACTCGGCAGCGAATATATACACGAGCATGCCATGCGAGAGCAGCGACGAAGAAAGAGGGAAAGAGATACCTACGCGAGTCGAGCTTGTACATCTATAATATAGACAGCGAGAGAGAAAGAGAGAACCCGTCCGTCTGCTTTTTCGGCTCTGCGAATACATCAAGCATACGCGCACATGTAATAGAGCGACACATGACTAAATAACAACTCTGGACCGTCGAATCGAGGATAGACAAATAAAACGTCGCATGTAGTTTTTCATATACGGTGTGCGGAAAGAATTAGAGCTCGACGACTTGGTCAATAAGTACTGTACCGATTCACTGATCACGCGAGCAATTAACGCGAAACCCGCTCGAAGCTCTGCAAGATCTCGAGAACAGCGATGCTGTCGATACTTGGTAAGCGTCAACTGACAGCCAGCTGTCAAAATCTTTTTTTTCTCTCTCCCTCGAGACTCTCGAGAGATGAAACTATACAAAGCTACGGAAGGAGCCGGGCTTATAACGGGGGATGCACGCGTAAAGCATAATCAGCTGACGAGCAGCACTACTGTGCGTCGTCGTTTTCGCTATATACTTTGAAAGTTGTGCGCTGCGGTTGTGTGCGTGTATACACAGTCGGTGCACTACTCACCTCGAAGGTCAGAGAGCCAAGATGATGCGGGTGGGCGGCGGGGGCGAGCTTGGCCCGGAGCCTGAGCAGCTCGCTACAAATTCGGCAAACTCGTCGGTCGTTTCTGACTGCTGCTGCTGCTGCGTCGACTGCTGCTGTTGGAGCATCACACGCGTAACACGGCGCTCTGCACTTTGCAGCATTACCGAATGCAGCACACGTGCACCATTTCAAAATTGCACGACCTAGACTCGTTGCGGAGCAGCTCGATGTTATCGTTGTCGTGATATGTCGCGAGGGAGCAATAGACGCTGCAGTTGACGGCCGAGCAGCAGACGAGTGTCGCAGCTGCAAGACGAAACGAGGAAGCTGGCGTGGAGGGCAATCGTCCCAGTTGGCGGTGGCTCGCTCCAGGGCCCAGGGGCCGTTGGCGCTTCTGCGAGGGAGTCCGGGGGCTCCGACAGATGACAGATAGCTATCCGCGTAGGCTTACGCACACGCTTGAAATCGATATAGGACAGCTCCTCGGCTCGTATATCAGCACGAGTTCATCGGCTGGAGCAGCTAGTTGCTCGAGAGCTCGACGACGGGGTCTTTTTCAGGCTCAGGCGCGCGCATACACTGCACGACGAGCGAGATCGGGACGCGCACAGATTCACGCACTCGCGCACTCGTATTATCACGCACGATAGTGTGCTGCTGGGCGACAGCTGCCAGAGCACCGCGTGTGCACACGAACTGGCTTGTAGGGCAACTACACTGAGATGCTGCACACGCAGCTACTATGCACCGCTGTGCAGAACGTCAACGGAAGGGAGGAGAGTCGAGGCTGCAGCGAATGCAGCAGCGCGAGCGTCGACTCGGTCAACGGTTGCGGCGTTACTGCCGCTCGATCCGTCCGAGCACGTACATCTGACACTGACTCGCTCCGTGCTGCGTGCACACAGCACAGCCGCGCGAGTAGTGCCACTCGTGCGCCTCACACACGCGCACACCTACACATGTGCTGGCAGCATATCGCGTTGGTAGTAGTAGTCGTGCTGTTGGGGCAGAGCTCGATCTAGCAGACCAGAGTAGGCAGCGCGAGCGACCGGGGCCGCCGGTGCCTGCCTTTAAGGTAGTCGTGGTAGTAGAGTGCGCGCGCGAGGCTATGTAATTCCACGCTGCTGCTGCTACTGATCGGAGTCGGAGCTGCCTTGCCAACGAGAGAGGCGCTGCTCGATAGACACACACCGAGTCTTCTTTCTCTCCCCTATATGCGCTGCTGCGGCTGCTGCTGCTGTCCCCGCTCTCTTACTTCTGGTCGTCTCTTTACTCTCGGATGGCTCGCTCTGCGCCCCGCGTGAGATGCGCGCACGCGAAAAACCCCGCAGCTCTTCTTGGAGTTTGGACGCTACCTGTATAGCTATATATAACGAAACGAGCACATGCTCCGCTTTTCCGACTAGCGAACACATGCCATACGCTCGAAATGTGAACACGCGCACAAACTGACAATAACACCGTCGACATATTTCGAATGCCATTGACACGTGCTTCGAAGGCCCAGCGATTCGAGAAAAACGTCAAGCGAGCCTCTGCTGCTTCGTATGAACTCGAGACGGATCTATACACTGCGTAACCGACTACTCTGATATGGCTTCGAACGTTCGAATCACATTTCGAAGTACATCACATCACATTTCTAATGCACGTTAACAGTAGAAGCTAAAATTTTGTAATTTTTCCAGCTTTTTCCAGATAATTATCAAAGTACGAATCGACGCATGATGTACGCAAGTGACTGTCGCAGCAAGTAAATGATTAAGCTTAAGGATCAATTGGTAGATGTACTTACCGAGTCGATCGAAGCTCGGCCCGAAAACAGTTGACAGATCGAGAGGACGAAAATATTATTGTTGGTCGAACAAGAGCAGCGACACCTCAGCTGACACGGATCGGTTCAAAATATCGATATACACAAAGAGCCACGAAACTTGCCAAGATCGTCGACACTACGCATAAGTCGCGAGTCGCTCGACTACTCGTACTGTCTCTCGAGTCATTCGCGCGCGAGTTACTTACGTGCCGTATAATACACAAGCCTGTATCGAGTACACATTAAATGGCACGTGATCGCGTCCCGAGATAACGACTGACCCGATACGTTTTTCCGAGCCCGATTCTCCCGTCGTCGTTTTTTTTTATCGTCGAACTACGAAATTCGAGGATTTGCCAGCAGAAACGAGCCGTATAAGAATAACTTTGGCGAAATCTTTATGTACAACCTTATGTATACACGTCGTTGACAACCTTATACTTCGATAACTCGACATAATGCGAAGACAGTGATTAAGTCGATTGGTCGCGCTGATAATGTTTGTACAGTTTTTCAGCATGTTATCGATGTTACTTCACCATTTGTTTGCTCGTGTACCAGCAACGACTGCACGCGCGCATTTACATAAACTTCCAAAATTGCCAACGCGATTTGCGCCATTCGTATGCATTATTTTTTTATGTAATATACACCGGGATGTACGACGTTAAAAGTTGAAACAAAGAATAAATGAACAATGCGACGCTAAAAATAGACCGTTTTGAGTAGCCTTAGTCGCAGCAGCGAGAAGAAAGGGGGGCGGCGACTTTTCTCAGCGAGGAGAAAAGTGTGAGGGCCTCTTTCGGAAGCACTCCAGAGCCTCGGTTCAGTGTCATCTTAATGAGCTTTTTCACCTGACGGAAAGAGGGAAGGAGAAGGGGTGAGGCGGAAATATATATACGCGGTGCAGCACTGGGGGCGCTTCGCCACTGAATCTGTGCAGCTTGCAATGTACACAAACGCGTCTATAGCGTAAACGTGTTGCGGTCTACGAATAAAGCCTCGTTGTTTTCACAGATCGGATCGTGTTACTCAGTCAAAACAAAACGATCGATCGAGTCGAGAGAAGAAGAAAACGTCTAACGTGTCACTGGATAATGGCCTGTCAATGATCGATGCACGCCCGGAGGCTTTCAAAGTAATCAACGTTCATGTTGTTGTTGTTGTTTTCGTTGTTCGGTGTTTATATAGAGTATGCTCGGTATTAAGCGGTGCGCGTGTGCGGGAAAGATGTTGGTAGCGCGAAAGAATAATGGATGGTTGCGCGAATCCTTACGCGCGCGCGCGAGGCAACTTTCACCCGATCGTCGTCGTGATCGTTTGGATTTCCAAAGCTTCTTTGTGAAATTTCGTCACATTCGTCATCGAAATCGTTGTAGTAGTATTTATATACATACATAGTAAGTCGAGGCAGCGCAGCGCGCAAACGTCGCATAATTACAAGTTAATAGGCGCGAGAGAGTAAGAGCGAGCGTACACATAATAATATAGCGAGCGATGAACTCGAGGATAAGAATTGGCGCTATCCACGCGCGGAGAGACGTGCTCGATGAGCACTTTTTGCTACGCACGCGGATTTTTTCTCCATACGTAACGGAAGAGACCGGTAGTCGCCGTCGATAGAGAGAAAGAAGCAAACAAAAACCAAATCTAAAAATTTCAAGTACGCTGTTAGAACTTCATAATCGAGATCGAGGCAAACGATTAACGCAATGCCGTAAGGCCTTCCGCGATCGCGTCACATTGGCTGCGATTTCATCGGATTTAACTCGCATCTATAGCAGGTCTTGGATGTCGAAATCAAATGGAAAGACAAAAATAAACAAACAAATAAATATATCGATGGCTTTGATAATTCAATACATATACACATTGTCTTTATGATGTTTTATACAGGTATACTTGTTCACTTCTGGATAAGATAAGCGAGAAGTCTATGAGAAGCTTCTTATAGACTGCTATGCTCGTTCATCGACATTTATCACAACGTATAAAGTATCGAATTATCTCGTCATTGTGTTCTTCTGGCGCTCGTGGCTACGTCAATATTTCTCAACGATATAATCCTAGCTGAGATATCTTTTACTTTCATCGCGACGCGTAAATATTTAGATATCGTATACGACCGTATACAATAAACGAGGAGTTTAAAAGCACCGACGACGGCTCGTTTTCTTTCATTCAGAATTATTTGCAAACACAAGCTCCCCCCGCACATGGCATACGCGCAATAAAATATCGCGAGCTTCCGACTCCTATACTCGTTTTCTTGAGTGACGTATACGCTCGTGGCCTTACGAGCTGAGTTTGGCTAGATCGGGTTGCGTTGATTCAAACCTTAAAAGCCTGTTAAACGTTCGAGCGAGTTGTGACATTTACGTATTATACTCATTTACTCTTTTCGGGGACATAAAAAGGCAGCCAGTTTTGAAACGAAAAGTCGTAACGACGCGCGTTATCAATAAAGGTCGGTAAGGAAGAAAACGAAGCCTCGTGGAGATAATATTCGATAATAACGTCGAGTGTAGATGCAGAGAAATCGGTTTCTCTTAAATTATCGATTATTAGTTTAACTTGGTAAAATGCTCAACAGCGATAAACTCCAAAATGATCGAGTCGCGGGAACACGAGGAGTTTGTCGTACGCGCGCCAACTTCGCCGAGCCGCTGTCATTCGAGAATCGAGCTCTCTCTCTAGTAAGTACGGAGGCAGGCACGACGGCGCGCAGTTCGCACAGTACACAGCTCTGCCTCTGACTACTGTGTCGTCCCCACCCCCGTTGAAGAACGAGTCGTCGGCTCGTGCAAAAAATCCGTATGCGAATTCGTAGAGGCGCACAGGAGCAGCCCAGACGAACATTTGCCTACTGCTACGACTGCTCCTACACATTATATACTGCTCCACGCTGCTCTCTCTCTTTCTCTGCCTCGTGCAGGCCTATCAGTTTTATTCGTACACAGTACTGTAAGTCTCGCAGCGTATAAAGTAATAAGTTAGCGTGTTGAGAGAGAGAGAGCGAGAGGCACCTTCGCTGCTCAGTAGCATCTCGCCTTGGCAGTAGTCGGCTACGGTCGATTCTCTCTCTCTCTTTCTTTTTCTCGCTATATATCCGAGATTCGCGACTTTCGAGCAGCAGTAGCAGCGAGAGTTTGTGAAAACGTCCGAGCGAGTGTTTTGTCGTTATACAGTGCCGAGAGTGGTGAGTCAGTGACAGTAGCAGCAGAAGAAGCGGTGGCGGCGGCGGCGCGTGCACGAGTGTTTCGGAGCCGTTGCTAATTGCGAGGCTGCAGCGAACAACAACAGCACAACGACCATTTAAACTCGGTGTTCCGTTAACCCAGTGACCTTGGGCGTCCACGAGCCTTTTTGTACGCTCGTGTCCGAGGAGGGAGACGCCGAGTGGAAGAGATCATTTTATCGCATCTCTTGCCAATGATCAGAGCGAGAAGCACCATTCATTAGCCGACGCTATTCGCAGATCGCCATTCCATACGTATACGCACGACGCATGGACCGAATTGCACGAATGATCGACGCTTAACCTCAAACGGACTGATTCGCGACCAGACGACCGAGAACAGAAGGTTCGTGCTCCTTTAGCTCACGTTACCATTGTTTTGTTCTGCAAACGTCAAAGCTCCCTCGGTCTTGCACGCGCGCCTATATAACGTAATTATCGCTCGGGGCTCTCTCTGCTACTTAACTTGCTTATAGCCGACTAATTAAGCATCGAAGGCCGCTGCAATCGGTGCCACAGACAAATCGATTCGTTTACCGCCTGGCATGCTACTTTTTGTGCTCTGCATGAGTGTAGGTCCCAATCGTCGAACTGATGCGCAAAATTCATAGGCCAAAGCTCGACGCGTTGCTGCAAGTGTACTCGAGAATCGACGGTCGAGGGTCGATAAAACCATATGGGAGAAGAAGCGATGCGAATTGCTTCAAAGTATATGCACGACTCGCTGCTCGTGCAACGAACGATCTCGTTTTCTCGGAAAGTCATCAAAGCGCGAGTAATTATATCCAGGCTCGCGGCATTGCATCGCGACGCGCAGCATGCGGCTCTTGAAAGGCGCGCTATTACTATATACTCTCAGCTGCACACTGGCATTACAAGCTCTTTATCGATCAGCTGTTTGAAAGCGCGCAGATTTACTGCGAAAACTTTGCGACTAACGATTCCGTTCGATACGGCCTTCAACGCGAGAAGCCGAGGGACTGATTTCGATTTTACGCACACGTGCGTAGCTCGAGCGAGCTTGCGACCGAAACGAACGCGTGCTCTTTTCTCGACTTACGATCCTGCAACATGTTGCTTTTATTACGCTAACTGGGATGTAAAGTTATTTCGCTGTTTCTGCCATCAGCACGCTGTCGCGATTGATGCAACGGCTAGAGTTCCAGCAGTTTCTCGGCATTTTTTTCTTTTTTCTTCTTTATTTTCCAGGTCGGGGCTTGGAAAAGTTTCGTGCCCTCGCGGCCGCGCTCAATTATTGACAAGCGCTAAAGTCGCTCGGTTGTAAAGCAGACCATTTATACACTTTTGCGCCTATACCGACTTTCGATCGGTCGCGTATAAATGCGAACACTCGGCATATCGTAATCAGCGGATCGAATATAGTCGTCGTCGTTTTCGTAGTGTATGATTGCGGAGCGCTGATCACTGCTGTTAGAGCGTATACTTGTACAAAAGAAACCGCTGAGCGATTCCCACATGTGCCGCTTGGAACGATCTTATCGATTACTTTTCTTATAAGATACGAACATCTGGCATCGTCGTGTTGAACTTCATTTTGGCGATTCGCCTCTTGAACGTTGCCGGCTTCTGTATAATTAGTTCGAAAGAGAGTCAAGAGCAGCCGCGTAAAATGAAAAGAATGTCCCGTTCGAGTGGGCGATATACAAGCGAATAACATTATACTGGGACTCTGTATAGCTTATGCCGTTCTGGTAATTACAGGTGATAAGATATAGAGGTGATCCGACCATTGATTCTGCACTCCAAGCCTGTTCAAGAGGGACAATCGACGCGTCGATTCGAGTGTGTCGTTTCGGTGATCGCTTCCGGCTCTCGGCAGCTCGCGGGGGACAGAGAGATATGCGCGATGGATCTCAAGAGCAAGTACTCGGCCACCAAGCGAGCCAGGAGAAAAAGCCTCTGCTGAGCAGCCATCGATGCGCGACCGCCAGTCAATGAGCAATGAGCCGCCTACACCTTCATTATCAGCCTTCCCTGCGTACTTTTGAAGATTACGTGCACAGAAAATCGGCCTTCTTGTATGCTCGCCGCCGTGGAGTCGAGATTTATAGTTGAGCATCGATAAGGTGAGTAGTACACGATCGAGCTCGAAAAATAAAACCCGTGTGGAGCGAGGTATAGTGGGCTTCCACGTGCGCGGTGTTTTTTTTTAAAGCTATTTCAGCGCTCGGCGAGTCGAGACTTTTCACCGTTAACGGCTCCTTCGTCTTATTTTCCAGCAAATGCTCATAGCGAGACGACGAGATGTCGCGCCGCATGACTTTCTACTGTCTGCTGCTCTTCGCGACGCTCTGCATATTCTTCCTCGCGATAAGCCAGAAATCCAACAACTACATCGAGCACCGGCTCCAGCCCCTCATATCGGTAAGTCCAGCCTACTCTAAGCACGAGACAATTATACATGGAGTTCGAAGCACGCGTGCAATGAATTATCATCGATTCTGGTGTATGGAAAATCCGACGCTCTGATGCGCGTCGACCTCACACACTGCTATATAATATGGTGGCTTCCAACTGTCGTATGGAATAATAAAGCTATATCTCTCGGTTTCTTTTACTTGTAATTGCACGCACTACGCTTAAATTTATTCTATCGACTATTACAAATATATCTGGGCTCGATACGAATTTAAGCGCCTGCGCGTTTAATAGGCGCTCTCGACGGTGATTTTTGGCTTTTTATCGTTATAACGCAGCTTATCGCACATGCTCTTTTTTTTTTTGAGTAACGGTACCGTGAGAGATCGACGTCTGCGACACAGAAACACGCACGCTGCGCCGCGCACTGTAATAAAGCAAACGAGCACATTTCCTTCGGCACATATAATTGATGCGATCACGACTGACGAGCTCCAACTCTACCATAATAATCTCTATATGTTTATATGTGTGTGTGCGCGTGTATCATGACAATATTGTTGTTGCACGCTGATACTGTTTATTAAGAGTTTCACATATGTGAAACGCTATAACGCAGAGCACCGTACGTGCCTTCACCAATGGACCTTTGACCGACGTAAGGCGCAAGCTCGTTCGACCTATTTAAGATAGGAAAACGGAAGCAAAAAAGAGACTGAAAACCGCGCGAAATGATTAAATGCTCGCGCTTATCTAATTGATAGACGGAAATGGAGTAACGACGTTTTCATCTCGAGGAGAGCTTAAAAAATTGCAAAAATTTGATTAGGACTTAACATTCAAAATTACCCAACGCAGTGATGACTCGAATAAAATTTAAGTGTGTATAACTACTATTTTTTTTTATTACATCAGGAACCGGCGTTAAATGTACATTACAAATATGAAGAAGCAATGACTCTACCAACAACTGTCAAAGATGACGAAGACGATCCCTTCACGGTAAGTTTAAATGGATGACAATTATTTTATCAATTCCTGCCCGAGTTCAATTAGAAAAATGGCCCAACAGCCAAGAAGAAATATCGCGATCTCTGGCTTAATTTTGTAAATTGCATCTGAAATTAAGTTGAATTGGTCGTCGTTTGTTTTCCGACTAAAACTGATAGCGTAGAGCACTGGTAACAGTTATACGTATACATTTCGCCTCGATAAAATCTCGCCGCTGTACGTGTGTAAATGAGTATCTCGAATGCGGATGTGCGAATTCTTGAAATTATACTATGACATCTTACTTATTATACGACACGCGCCAACTATATGAGCACCGCAAGAGACTCGACGAGCCACATCTATGTCTGCCACGAACTCGACATTTCCAAAGAATGTCCACGCCGCTTTCAATAACTCTCGACACTCACGTTATCGCTGATGACACTCTCGCACACGCATCGCATTTTGTAAACAAAAAAAAAAACGCAATGGTTGAAGGTTTACTTGCACGACGAATCACTTCTCTCTCTTTCTCCCCTGTCTCTAATACATGTATGTGATTCATACTCTGTATGTTTTCGATTTCCAAGACTGCAACGCACGATTCTGCAGAAATAAAAGCACTGCAGCTTCTCTCGCGCTTGGCAATAAAAAAGAAGTACGAGTTTTTTTTTCTTCTTACTACAGTAGTAATATGCGTGCAAAACGAACACGTCAGACTGCGCACGAGGTGCAGCGCGTGCATTATCGTCGTTTATCGCGCTTTGTTTTCGTACCGATTAATCGCTCGTCTGTCACATTCGTCTCGGACTCTCTCGATCGGCGCGCGAGCTTCCATAAATCCGCGCGCGCCAGCGAGTCGCCGCCGCACCGAGTCCTTCGATTCCGACGCAGGAATTATGACTCGGCGTTACAGGCTAATGATGCAATGTGCGGTTGATCTTGACGGGCGTGACATTGGACTATACCGGATAGCGTTATTTTTCTCTCGATCGCTTTTAATTGATATACTGCCCCGCGAGTGTGGATCCAATTTGCCGATCGCTGTGTAATATCGAAAATTGTAAGAGGCTTAGGGTCGATTACAACCAATCTAATTTGTACGATGCGAACCAAGTCAAAATTATTATCCTTCGATTTCTTTGGAACTGAAATCCTTAGTTTATTGATATCTTTGACACCTCGGTTTAACTAGATATTATGCAAAAATAAATTATTTTTCTACCTCATTTTCAGTAGCGCAACTTTATTTCGTAGAAATTAATACTAATCCATTAAAAATCGTGTTTCATCGCGCTTAAACGTGATTGGGTTTACAAAAACAGCTTAGTCAGTTTCACAAGAGCCTCTTCTAAGCTATAAAAATTACGCGGCTTCTTATTTTTTTTAATGATCTTCGCAGAGCTACATAAGAGGCAGAGGCTTCAGCATAGAAAACATCACCCTTATGGAGATCGACGATGTGGTGGATCAACAGCGACGCATCATCGAGAAAGAAATGGAAAATTATGTGTATCCAGACGGCAGGTACGGCAACTACGCAAGGTATGTATTATCTTCATTAAATTTTCTTCTCGGCTTGATTTTATCGCTTCGTTTACAAACGCGCCGATCTTGAAATTAAACATTAACTTGTCCGTATTGGCTATTCCGAGTGTCCGATGTTTTTTATGCGCCTGCAACGTAACTGTTTATTTTATAAACAAGGATTAGTCTAAACCGTACTTATAACGCAAGTATTTTTTACCGTAAACCAACGCGGTCGTTATTACGTTGCGTTAAAAATGACGCTGCGTCGGAGCTATTTTCATATACATTTTTTTCCGCCTCACGAGCGTCCAAGTGAAACATGTCAGCTTCGCGGAAAATTATACTACTGTTATGGTTTAATGATACGTGAAATCTCTTTTTTTAACGACTATTTTATCCTTATTAATGATTGTAACGAATGAAAATTTCGTAAACAGCAAACTCGATGATTTGGTGATGACGCAAGGTGGAAATCCAATCCGCAGCATCGTACTCACAACCTGGCGAAGCGGAAGTACCTTTCTAGGTGACATTCTCAACTCGCATCCAGCCAATTTTTATCATTACGAGCCACTTTTACACTTTGGTATAATTCAAATTCGGGAGCCACCCCTCTCGGACGAAGCCTTAGATAATTTGGAGTCCATGTTTAAATGTGATTACTCGAACTTAGGTACGGTCTTATTTCAATTATTTACATTAAAGAGCTTTGTGAAAGTTCGCATTTGAAATACAACGCACATTTCAACTTTGCTTGCAGAACGCTATCTTAGTTTTGGTAAAAATGCCCATCCATGGGTCTTCAATCACAATACGCATCTGTGGAAACAGTGCCAACTTCACAAGCGTATTTGTTGGGATCAGCGATTCGTAACCAAATTTTGTAAACTGTTCCCCTTTCAATCCATGAAAGTCGTTAGATTAAGACTGCAACCAATGGAAAAGTTTCTTAGTCAAAACGAGTGAGTTGCTCTCTATCAAAATGGTAATTTTCGAAATTTTGCAATCGACTAATTACTTCATGTTTTCTACTCAACAGACTAGGTTTAAAGGTTGTGCTACTCATTCGTGATCCTCGAGGAGTTCTTCAGTCACGAAAACATCGTGAATGGTGTCCGAATGAACCCGACTGTTTCGATCCGACGACATTGTGCTCCGACATGGTTTCCGACTACAATGCTGCAGTTAGATTTTTAAAACTATACCCAGATTCATTCAGGTAAGGATCGATGCTAGTGATTCATTACAAACATCTCGCTTATTGAATTTAATCAATCATTCATTTTCCTCAACAGCGTCATACGTTACGAAGATCTTTCACTGGATCCGTTTGCACACACGGACAAGCTTTTCAAGTTCTTCGGGCTTCATTACCACGAAAACGTCCAACATTTTCTAGAAACTCACACGAAAACCGATATAGGAGGTCTCTCCTCGACCTTTAGAAATTCAAAAACTGCGCCATTCCATTGGCGCACCGAACTCGACTTCGACGAGGTCGACGAGATTCAGCAAGAGTGCGATCAGGCCATGAAACTCTGGGGATACGCATTCGCGCGTAACGCCACACACCAAAAAACCTTTGATCCTGTTACTTCTTGCAAACTTCTTGATAATAACAGAGTTTAGCTGTCAATTTCCGCGTGGTTACTAAACATTCATTATGCCAGATGGAATTGTGCTGAGCAGCTATTTTATGTTGTTGATTGAATAGATCTGGTAAATGATGCAGTGCGAGTAATTGTACATACATATCTTCGCATTTGTAAAAACTCGGCCTGCGATTCAAGATTAATTGCGCTTTCTGTGATTTTTATATTTTTAGTAACATGTTTAAACTTAAGTTCCAACCATATAATTCATATTCATAAGAAACAGTATTATTTTAATAACAGTTTAAATGTGCATTACGAACGTCGCACTTACTCATGCATATGTTACAGCTCTCTATTCAAATGAATTTTAAAAATATTTAATATCAAAAGAATTGTATATACTTTGTACGTAATTAAGTTTTATACATGTTAAGCTGCCATAATATTTATTAAATGAAAAGCAGTCGTCCTTTTTATGAGGATACGAATCTAGCATCACATTTAACTTTCTCAGGAAAGTTGTGAATTGTACATAATATTTAATTTATACAATATCATAAAATAATATGATTCGTGATCATTCGTCCAATTTTATTATCATTAAATAAATTGGTAATTGTAATTAGATAGAAAAAACGAAAAAAAATTGTATAAAAAAATTTGTGGACATCGCACGACACATTAAAATAATTTTTACTATAGTTTTTAGTTAGTTTAAAACAAAATTAAGTCTTGATAAAGATAATTGTAATAATGAATCACAAGGAAAAATACTCAATAATTACTTTTATCATTGCACTTAATTTTTTTCTTCATGTCTCTAATCGTGATTATTTTGAATGTCACAATCAGACTACGTAAATTACATTAGAATTTTATGCAAATTCAACCCAGTTGAAACTAGTTTTCTGTTATTTTATTATGAATTGCGCACAAAAATGTTTTTTCTAATAAGTTTTTGTTTGTACAATAATAAAATATATCAACTTCTAAACTTTGAAATATGTTTTACCTTAGAACCTAATCATAGTTTTTTTTCAAAGCTTATAATTTTAATTTCATCAATTATCATAAATTCATGAATGAATATAGTCACCAAGTAGTTTGCATAATCTATTTCATGAAGTTTGATAAATGTTTGTTAAGTAATTTAATTAGATAAGTAAGTATAATTTTTGTGGGATCTCCGACAAGGTGAAAAACAAAAAGAGTGAAGTTTTTTTCATGTAAAACGAACATCTAGAGGTGACATGGTATTTTTAAAATGCTCAGTCATCTAGTAATTTTATGATGAAATCAAGTTTTACATATCTAATTTTTTGAATGTTTGATTAGTTTGTGCTTAAAAATACACTTATGTACATAGAAATCAAGCAACTCTTTAAAAAATTTTAACGTCAAAAAATTGCAATTCAATATAACACAATCGTAAACGATAAAAATAAGACCGGTTTATTAAATCAACAATAATAAGCGCCGATATCAGAACTAGAGATTACACGTGAATCAGAACACTCAAGATTCCCTATTAAGCTTGTGGCGACTGCCACTCACCGACGCGCACCCTAGCGCCACACGCGCAACCGCCGTGCCATTGTAAGCGACGCCTGTCGCCTCATCATTGTAAGCGACGCCTGTCGCCTCGCACGCTGCGACGTGCCACTCACTCTCGCTCCGACTGCTGAGCTGTAAGCATCGCAGAGCAATAAATACTTCTCTACTACTTAACCTATCGTGTCAGTGTCTTTGTCTCTCTCTCTCTACCTCTTCACCTGCACGCGGTACGAAGCAACCCCTTCTGACCAGCAATCAGCCGTCAACCTGGCGACGGCCAATGCTTCAAGCTTGAGACGCGTTTACAAATCGTATACTTGTACGACAGTCGAGGACGACGGTCGATTGTGCAAATTGTGCGGTATACTTGGAGCAGGTTTGAAGCGCCAATATAGAAATGGCTAATCCACACGTCAACGTGAATGGTGGTCGACTCAAAGGTTTTACCATACGAGATTTTGAGGGAAAAAATTATTACGCTTTTAGGGGAATACCGTACGCCAAGCCACCTCTTGGTGAACTCAGATTCAAGGTATTTCTTACGATTTGATGATTACTCTTACGAAAGCGAAATGTATTCAAATTGTTGCGAGTTTTTAGAATAATAGAAAACAAATGTGCTAATGGATTAATTATATTATTTTCCTCAATTTTCGCTGTTTTTTTCAATATTACATTGTATGAATTGAGGGTTCGTCCAACAAATAATGAGTTATTATCTAATCAGAGGCGTATTTATTCAAGCTTTATCGGCAGAAATAAATTATCGACTCCAACAAGGAAAATCGAGACAAATTGAATTTTTAAGAAATGGATTCACTTTTGACTGTTAATACAATCTTTTCAAACACATTTTCTGAGATTTTCACAAAATAATTTTTGAAGAAATTCTATTTTTAGACATCCGCGTAATTTTTTCAGGAACTTTTCATTTTAGTATCGATATTTCATTAAAATTATCGTAGGACCCAGTACCAGCTGAAAAATGGATTGGTACCCGAGACGCTTTAAATTTCGGTCCAATGGCGGTTCATTTTGACATCTTCAAAAAAGCCATCGTTGGCTCAGACGATTGCCTCTATATAAATGTCTACACAAATGCCATCGATGACTCTGAATTACGACCAGTTTTGGTATGGATTCATGGAGGTGATTTCATTTTTGGATCGGGTGAGGACGATTTTTACGGAGCAGATTATTTCATGAGGAAAGATGTGGTCCTCGTAACGTTCAATTACAGACTCGGAGTCCTAGGTGTGAGCCCAAAATTTTACCATCGATTTTTCGTCGCAGTTTTTTCAATTTTTCAACGAGTCTACGTCATTTATAGGTTTTTTGAATTTGGAGGATGAAATTGCACCGGGTAATCAGGGGTTGAAGGACCAAGTAATGGCTCTCGAGTGGGTGCGAGACAACATCTCGAATTTTGGCGGAGACCCCGATAATGTAACAATTTTCGGCGAAAGCGCTGGTGGAGCTTCTGTGCATTATTTGACTCTCTCACCTTTGGCCAGAGGTCAGTCCTTAGATAAATGAAAAGATTTTTAGTTTTCAACTCGGAAATAAATCCAACAGGTCTGTTCCACAAGGCCATTTCTCAGAGTGGAGTGGTACTGAATCCTTGGGCAGCGGTACCCGAAAATCCGAAAAGCTACGCCTACAAATTGTGCAAAATGTTGGGCAAAGAAACCAAAAATTCCAAGGAGATCGTCGAATTTTTACGCACCATACCCTACACCGAACTGATGATAGCACAACAGAAAATGGCCGAGGCAAATGTGAGATTACTAATAAGAAAATAACTTACGTTCATGTATTTAAGAATCGATGTAAGTAATTTTAAATTTAATCAATGTAGCTAGATGATAATCTGCTCAATCCGTTTGGACCTGGCATTGACGCGAAATCATCCAAGCCTTTTCTGCCGATCGAACGCGAGATAGCCGCAAAACAGGGAGCTCACGTACCGTACATGATTGGCCATAACGATCGCGAAGGAACCATGTTATTGAAAAGTTTGTGGGCTACTTAATTGATTCTAGGTTTACAATTTTTTTTTACCTATTTTAATGTTTACGATTGTGACAATTTTTTCAAAGTGTTTGGAGCTCATGCTTATGAGAATATCAATAAGAAATTTGAAAAAACCTTGCACCCATTTACTCGGCGCACATTCGAACATTTATATAATTTAACGCCACTGGAGCTGAAACAAATATACTTCCATGGCGAAGAAGTATCCAAAGGAAAAGAGGCCAATTTCATAAAATTTGTCAGCGACATGAATTTCATTCATGGTATTCACCAAGTCATTAAGGCTCAAGTCGAAAGCAACTCCTCATCAACGTACATGTACGTTTTCACTTACGACGAGGAATATTCTTACGTTCGTTCGCTATGTAATACGGATGAACCAGGTGAAAATCTTTTGCATACATTACATAATGTTGGTCAGTTGTCCCTTACTTTATGTGACAAAAGCTATTCTATACAGATATCTCTTAGGACTCATGCCCAATGACAAAAATGATTAATTATAATAACTTTTTTATTGTATCTCAGAATAGTGTTAAAACTAAGAGTTTGTTCTACAGGTGCTTCACACATGGATGAGCTCCGTTATCTATTTAATGCTAGGCCTACGGAAATTTTTAAAATAAAAGCCATCGAGAAATCGACAGTTTCGTATAAAATGATGGAGACGATGATAGAATTGTGGACTAACTTTGCCAAAACTGGGTATGAAAATAACTCAAATGTCAAAAAGGAGTCAACTTTATACAATCAAGAATGTACATTTTTCAGAAAACCAACTAAAATGCCTAACGATTTGATATCACTGCATTGGTTACCAGTGACAAATGGAAAAGTTTTACGTTATTTGAACATTGGTAAAAATTTGCGAATGGAAAAAATGCTCAATATAGAAGAGAAATTTAATTAGAATCTGATTCCAATGATTCAATGTTTTAAAGTGATTTTTTTCTAATTTTACTTATCATGTATAATATATAAATAAAGGGAATATGAAGAAATAATAAAATGTAATTTTTTTTAAAAAAGTTTCTTTATTTTGTTTCATTATAATAAGTTATTTAAGTCATAGTTAAAAACTAAGCTTTGAATGCTTTCATATTTCTACTCTTACCTTAGAATATTTCTACTCTTACCTTACTCTTATCTTTGTGGCTCTAGTTGTAGTTTGTTTCTGAAACATAAAAGTTTATTTGTTAGTACATTCATTTTTCGTTGTCAATCGTTTTTTAAAATTATAATACTGTTCAGTAAAATGTTTGATTTCATAAAAGCTTTCGTAGCGTATATTAAAGCATCATAAAAATTAATGTAAAATATTATTTCATCAATAAAAAAATATATACCTTCAATTAAATCAGCGTCACTTTCCAAAAGGTTCACTGGTCAATTGAACATGAAAAATTGGTTCTGAAAAAAGAAAAATTGTGCTTAGAAATAATGTTTTCCAAAATTAAAACTAATGAATAGTATTTGGTTTTTTATCAGTGAGGGCAAGTAGTATTCATTAGATAATTCATAATAGCGTATGTATTGGATCATCATATCAGTTTGTTAATATCAAAATTTAAATTTTAAAAATGTAATAATTCTTACATTGTGGAATGCAGCTGTAGTAGCATCGGTGGCAAAGAAAAGTAGTTTGCCAATAAGTTTGCCATGTAGTTTGCCAAGTAGTTTGAAGTTCCTGTAAATGAAAATTACATTTAGTAAAATGTAGACTTTGATTATTACATAAATATTATAATATATGCAATATCAGTGAAAAAGTGACATCAATAATGATCAGACATATGCTTGTCAATAAATCATCACAAAAAAAGAAGATTCTATTGGTGATAAAATATACTAATAGAATTTTTATTACCTGTGTAACTTTTGAAGTGGTTTTCATTGCTACCCTCAATTTCAACAGACTTCAAGCTGAAAAAAAATTTCAAATTTAATAATTTAATTTCAACCTTAGGGCAAAAGTTTGTTAGTGTTTTAGTTATCAGCGTAGTATTTTCACCATGGTCATGTAAGACAGGGATAACTAATAATTCATCATAACAATGGATAGAAAAATGAGTTACATAAAGAATCAATGTCTTACCTCGAGTGCAAATTGGCATTCATGCATATTTGTGGCAAAGAAAAGCAGTAGGTCAAGGTGTTCAGAGTTCCTGTAAAATAACATTACTTTAAGTAAAAAGTTGATATTTTTATCATTTCATTAATATTGCTACGTATATAATATCAGGAAAAAAATGACATCAATAATGATCAGTCATATGCTTGTCAATAAGTCATCATGAAAAACTAATGAGAATCTAAAATGTTAATAGATTGTTCATTACCTCTGTGTCATTAGAAGTAATTGTCATTGCTACACCTCATTTGGCCAGGCTTGAAACTGTAAAAAGAATTGACAAATTAGTGATTCAATTTATTACTTTTGGGTAAAATTTAATAAACGTTATAGTTATCAGCGTAGTGTTTTCACCATGGTCATGTAAGACAGGGATAACTAATAATTCATCATTAAAATTGATTGAAATATTTGTTTCATAAATCGATTTCTTACCTTGATTGATTATTGAGTCTTTCGAGCATATTTGTGGCACAGAAACTTCAAGATAGTCTTCCATGTACAATCAATCTGAAAGTAAAATAAGTGGTTAACTTTTGTTCATTGTATCAAGGAGTATATAGATTTATTTCTTTAATTTTCAGGAAATTAACATTCGTCACAACATCTCAGTTTGACTAGGGCGTTAATGGTATTCATCATAGACAATTTATAAAAATTTAAAGGAAGTCAAGTGAAAGTGACAATATTTACCATTCATGCTTGTAGGTGTTCATCATCCTTTGAATAATTGTATCACCCATTTACAATTGATAGCTGAAATGAAAAAAGATTATTAGTTTTGAAACATATTAACCATATAAGAGATATGTAGGTAATAAATTTTTCAGAATAACCGAATCAGTCACAGACTTCAGACTGGGGCGGTAGAGAAATCATCATTTCAAGTGTAGTTTTTATTTGTACAATACAGCTTAGCAAGCAGTAATAATAAGATATTAAAACTAGAAACTTTCCTTAAGTTTTAAGCTGAAGTCAAATAGGATAGTCTATTTCAGTATTAAAGAATAAATTGTCAATTGGTAAAATAACCTACCTTGCACCATGTGTGAGAGAAATTCCAGTTGATTCCCATAATGAAATCATCATTTTATACATTTTTCATATATCTGAAACCGATAAAAAAATAAATTATTGCAATTGTTAAATTGCCTCATACTTTGACTTATTGAAAGTATATATTCAGAAACACTGAATCAATCATAAATTTCAGACTGGGGCAGTAAAGGAACATCATATGAAAGTTAAAGAATGATCATAGACTAGAATTAATTTCTAGTAGAGAAAAGTAAAAAATTTGTTAAGAGTTTACCTCAAAGAAAGTGCAGTGCAGTCTGATGATTTTAAACCTTGTCATGTGTATATCAGTTCATTAACTTATACATTTCGATTTTTTGTTAGCGAAATGCCCTAAAAAATAATATTTTTAATATAATTTGAACGTAAATTGGTTGAGAAATAAAAAAAATTTTTCAATGCTTCAGTGTTGTGTTTCGAATCATAGAATTCATACGAACGAGACAATCATTATCATCATTAAGGAATAAGGACAGAAACAGTTCAATTGATATTGATAAAAAACTGAGACAATACTATTAATTTTCAAGCCTAATTACAGTAAGTAATGAAATGATATAGACAATTGGTTTTAAAAAATTGTACTTAAATGCATTCGGTAGCTTAGCGGCAGTAAAAAAAGATGTGAAATAATCAAAGGAACCGGTCCAATCTGTAATATAAAAATGAAAATCTTCTAACATGCATTGAATATACTCATTGTACTCAATAAATAAAAGAAAAAAAGAAACGTTTAGTAGTTAACTGAAGCAGTAATTTGTGTAGAAATTTAAATTATAATCGAATCATGAAGAAGACATGTTTGAAATTATTCATTCAACGCTACTTTGGTACCCCTTCGATGAAAAAGTTTAAACAACAATTAAATATGTAATTAATAATACAATTAAAAAAATTAAATGCTTGCCAACAAGATGAGGAATGATTGAAACTATAAACGTTATTAGATAGAGCCGATGAAATAAATTAGAAACTGATGCACGTGGATTAAGATAGTTAGGTTAGTAACGTAGTAGATGGTGGAGATGCTTACCCTATTTCCAAGTGCTGCGCCCATGGTGAGTGCAGGTATGCAAGATGAGACTCAAGTTGCAACTGCCTCGACCAGGAGCTCGAGAAGGAGTGATCGAATCATGGTCTGACTCGAGAGAGGTTCACTCAGCGCCAGCGGCGAGCGGGTCTAGAGCCGCCGCATTTTACAGGGTGGGAGAAGGTTCCGGTCCGGCGCATGAAGCCCGAGCAGTTTTACGCTACGAATCGTCACATTACGAGTGCATTGAGCGCGTTTTGCGGTGCAGCATACGCTAGATTTGAACTTGTGACGTTAGTCACTAACTATAATTTATGAAGAAGAATGTCACGCGGGAGTCGGGACTCGGGATAGGCAAATTTGATCTGCTATTCAAAGTCCCGATCCATTGTGTTTTTAAATCGTATATAAAAAATTTATAGAAATTTATTCATAAAATATAACTTTATAAAAACTAAACATATATATCTCGATTTTTGAAAAAAAATACGGCACAAGTTGTTATTTCCCCTGGCATAGTATCGCTTGGTTTAATCACAGCTACCTAAGAGTTAATTTTAAGTTACTAGACTTTAATATGTGCGCGCTACGCGCGCATGGAACTCTTATGAGTATGTAATTTAATATATGAAAGATATTATTAACTACAGAGGGCGTATGTAGATGACACTAAAATATTTCTTGTACTCACATGAAGTTGGCTCTAAGAGGGTTCAATTCGATCTATAATCGCAATGGCTCTTATATTAATTAGATTGAAATTTATTTGGAAAACTATGTTGCAGTTGGCAAAAAATACTTGTAAAAATAATCAAGCAGAAAATGAAACTTTATAATTATTACTAACACGTATGATATGTAAATGTGAATATAACAATGATTCTTATAAATTATATGAATGATTGATTATACTTTATTTATATTTATTTATTTAATTTTTTAATGTAATTTTTATACTAATGAAATTCAAATTGAAGAATTTTTAAATTATAGAAATATATTAAATATTTATGGGTTCATTCATGCGCATCTCATAAAATACAGGAATTGTAAAAATGAATTTCATCGTTAATGTATTTTGAAATTTGTATTGGCCTCGGAGAATCAGGAACCTCAATCGAAATATTATGGAAATAAAAAACGAATATTTTTACGCCATTTATTTTGAACTAAAAACCTTTTTTTCAGTTGAAGCCCATCAAAATCAATATAGCAGATAACCTTCGTACGAGAGTACAAAAAATGAATTTTTGGTTCTCTAAAGCGCACCATATTTGCACTACGTTGTTTAGTTGGCTTCTTAAAAAAATAATAAGCGTATCAAAGAAAGTATTTCTCTGTGGTAAAATTCATGAAAATTCATAGATGAAATTCTCAGAGATATCGAATAAATATCTTTCTACGTGGATTTTTAGAAAGCTTAAAAATGAAGGAATCGCATGGCCACGTGCTAAACAGCGAACATGACTGGAAACGTTCAATTTTATCCTGACTTTGTTAAGCTCTCGATATAAATTGTTAGAACAAAGTTAACATTAATTTTTATCCAGTAACATGTTTTTATGAAAAGAATATTGATGCAAAAGTTGTTATATGAAAATCATTTGTGATAATGAGTTATTTATTCAACAGCCATGTGGAAAACATTTTCTTGTTTCGGTCGGCCCGGTGATTTTTGAACAAATATTCGGTTAACATTTCAGAAAAAATGTTTTCAATTTTTAATAAAGCTCTTCGATTCAGTCGACTACTTTTTTAAACTTTTTAGATCTATTGAAAAATAAAAAATTTCAGTATTTAGCAAAGGTCTTTTTTATCTTATCTCATATGTTTATGAGTATAATGTCTTTACGTGAAAGTGAATCATAATAGCTCAAAATGTATACATATTAAAAATGATCGCAAAATTGTATTTTAGCCGTCAGCGGTCAGATTCAGGTCGACAAATGTGCATGGCGTGAGGCAAAACATTACCAAAGTTCACGCTTACTGCAGATTAACTCAAACTTTACAGACCTCGCATCTTCGGAGTATTCCACATTTCACTTAAATTGTATATCTATGTATGTATACACACTATATATACATAATACACATAACACAGTACAGTTTGCACTAACACACAGGCACACACACGAAGTACATTGTAAATCTAAAGTGGCCGATGATGGCTCAGAATCAGAACGGCTGTGATCAGTGATGTGATGTGATTTATGTTCTTTTATAAGAAATATCGCAAATTTCTTATACTTTAAATCAGGATTGTTATCCGAAACAGCTGTAAACTCAACTCTGGTACTGTCATTCTAAAAAAACTTCAAGTTTGACGCTTCTTTTTGCTTATATTGACTTATCAATAAACTTCGACCAAAATGGGAGTCCCGAAGTTTTTTCGATATATTAGCGAAAGGTATCCATGCCTTAGTGAAAAACTCAAAGAATATCAGGTATATTTTTCATTTTGAATCATTATATTATTATAAGATTTATTATCTCTGTTCACATTATTATTGTTATTCAATTATAATGTTCATTATCTTTATTTGTTTTACTTTCTTAGCTCTCAAAAATATACTACATTTACATACATTTAATGTTTTTAATGCACAGATAATAAATTTATTAACAAACTATTTATTTTCCAATAATTAATTTTTTTATTCAATGAGAATCCTAATTATTTTTCATAGGTTAGTTTATGCCCTTGACAATTGAAAATATATAAATAATTCATATTCAATTTTTTTAGTGTCTATTTATAAATTAAATTCATTGTTATAAAAAGCTACTGGTCATCCACATAAAAAGTAATAACTATCAACATTAATGTAACTTATACAATATTTTAATTTACAGATTCCTGAGTTTGATAACTTGTACTTGGATATGAATGGAATAATACACAATTGCTCTCATCCTAATGATGCTGATGTTTCATTTCGAATCACTGAAGAAGATATATTTAAAAATATATTTCACTATATAGAAATACTATTTCGCATTATTCAGCCTCAAAAATTATTTTTTATGGCTGTTGATGGTGTAGCTCCTCGAGCTAAAATCAATCAACAAAGAGGTAGACGTTTCAGAGCAGCCAAAGATGCTGAATTGCAAGAAATGAAAGCCAAAGCTAAAGGTCAAGAAATACCAAAAGCGGCAAGATTTGATTCTAATTGTATTACACCAGGAACAGAGTTCATGGCTCAACTTAATGAACAATTGAAATATTTCGTTACTTATAAAATGTCAACTGATGAAAATTGGCAAAAGTGTAAAATAATTTTAAGTGGACCGGAGGTAATTATTAATAAAAATTCACCATGTTTGACAATTACATATAATTTATTTTGATTGCAGGTACCTGGTGAAGGTGAACATAAGATAATGGACTATATAAGATACATGAAAGCTCAGCCAGATTATGATGGAAATGTTCGACATTGTTTATATGGTTTAGATGCTGATTTAATAATGTTAGGTTTATGCTCGCACGAACCCCATTTTTCATTGCTACGAGAAGAAGTAAAGTTCGGTAAAACTCAAAAAAAAATATTGACTCCAGAGGAGACAAACTTCTGTCTTTTACATCTATCATTAATGAGAGAATACCTTGAGCATGAATTTTCACCAGTTGCAAGCAAGCTCAAATTTGAATATGATGTTGAAAAAATAATAGATGACTGGGTTTTAATGGGATTTTTAGTGGGAAATGATTTTATACCTCATTTACCTAATTTGCATATTGAAAATAACGCATTAACTATTTTATATAATGCTTACATGGACGTGTTGCCAACCTTAGATGGTAATAATTAGTAATATTAATTTGGAAAAATTATTTTTTTATGCAATATTACACAAATAATATTGTATTAAAATTTTTATTCCAGGCTACATAAATGAAGCAGGTACTTTGAATCTTGCAAGATTTGAAAAATTCATGGAAAAATTAGGCCAGTACGATATGGAACAATTTGATGAAATTTATGCTGACCTCAAATATTTCGAAGCTAAAACAGGTAGAAGAATGTACGATAATGGGAAAGGTGAAAAAATAATTCCAGAAGAAACTATGTCACCTGCAAAGACATCCAATCATCCAGCTTTAGCTAATCTGATTTTAGCAACTGAAAATGAGGTTAATATAGCAATGATATTAAACACAAGAGCAATGCTTGATACTAAGGACATTTTTTAAATTTTAGCTTGGTGATGACGAAGACGATGAATCTGAAGAATCTGATGACACTGATGTTGATATGAAGATGGAATTTGTATTGCATAAGCGTGACTATTATATGAGTAAAATGGAGTATGAACATGTTGATGCGTAAGTAATTGATCTTTTTCTGCATTTGACTATCATATGAACAAATTGAAAATTAGTTATGTGATTGATTTTTAAGTGAAACAATGCGATCCCAAGCAGAAGGTTACATTAGAGCTATTCAATGGAATCTTCATTACTATTATAATGGATGTTGTAGCTGGTCATGGTATTACCCTCATCACTATGCCCCATTCATATCTGATATTAAAAATTTCAAAGATTTGAAAATAGATTTTGACCTAGGAGAACCATTCTTACCATTTCAACAGTTATTAGCTGTCCTACCAGCTGCTAGCAAAGCTTTATTACCAAAAGCTTATCACAATTTAATGACAGAAGAAAATTCTCCTATTATTAAGTACTACCCAGTAGATTTCAAAACTGATTTAAATGGTAAAAGGCAAGAATGGGAGGCTGTGGTATTGATTCCTCTTATTGATGAAACAAGTTTAATAGAAGGTTTGTTAATTTTTGTTACAACTATTATATTAAAGTGCTGAAAGATTTTTAACAATTTGTTTTTAATTGGTAGCTATGGAACCATGCAATGAAAAATTAACTGAAGAAGAAAAAAAACGAAATAGACATGGTCCCATGGCAATATTTACACATTCAAAGAAAAATTTGGGGATTTATAAGGCTCCTCAGTACTTTCCGGACATTCGAAGATATGCTAAAATGCAGCTTATTCAACGAGAAGAAATTCTTGTTCCCATTGAAAAATTAGTGAAGGGATTATGTAAAGGAGTTAAACTAAGTGTTTATTACCCAGGATTTCCTACTCTTCAACATGTTCCTCACACTGCTACCTTGGCTAAAGCAAAGGTTCTTTTCTCATTTAAAAAACATGAAAATGTTGCTTTTCAAAATCTATTTATTGTATTAAATGTTCTTAGGTTAAAGTATTTGAACAGCCATCACGACGAGAAAATATGATATTGCGTGTATTACCAAAAAAAGAAATTCCACTTCTTAACGATATTGCTCAGAAGTATCTTGGAAAAACTGTATTTATCGGCTGGCCACACCTTGTTGAAGCTTATGTTGTGGGTGTTTCAACAGTAGATCAAAAAATAAGCATTGTACATCCATCTCAGCAAAAAGGCTTACCAGAAGCCAAATTAAATTTTTGCATTGAAGAGGCAAACGATTCATATGTTGCAGGATGGAAAGTACAAAGAAAACATATTATTGAAAAGTATGCATTTTTCCTTTATAATATATTATAGAATGATTAGGTCAAAAAATATAATTTGTGTAATAAAAAACGATTGGTATAACAGTTACAAAAGTCGCTTGGGCATAGAAGTCGGGGAAACAGAAGTACTTGTTCACGCATGTCCAATGGTTGGAAGACAATATGTGTACAGCTCTCAAGGAAAAATGACTCTTGAAAAGCAATGGAACGAAATTTCAGTGCCATATGCATATCAAGTGGTACTCCTTGATTTAACTGTACACAACCAAGACTTCATTCAATTTACTTCTATCGTCGATGTTTACAAACCAAAATCTACTTGTTTCATGCTTGGTCATCCCCATTATGGGGCAATGGGAGAAGTGAGTTCTTGATTAATGTAATAAGAAATTGCATTTATTTCAAAGTATATATTTGTATTAAAAAACTTACTTCAGGTTACTGAACAAGGTGTAGACTTGAAAACAAGCCGAATCAAAGTAGCCATGCGAGCCATACCTGAGCCGAACTTCCAAAAAGCTCGTCAACTTCAGCACGAAGCTAAACCGAAGTACATGCCTGGAAATATAGCTGCTCAGCGTCTTGGTATAAGCAGTCACTTGTTGAGCCGAATAACGGGTTGCATATTTGTCGTTAGTTGTGATGCCGCTGAACCGGGTAGAACCAATCTGGGTTTGAATTTAAAGTTCAATAAGAAAAACGAAGAAGTAATAGGTTTTACTAAGAAAGACAATAATGGAGCCTGGTTGTATAGTGCAAAAACTGTTTCGTTTTTGGACGAATACATGGGCAATTTTCCAGAACTAGTTGAACAAATCGATAAAAACTTAGTGTCATCGGACGTTTTTCAAAAAGAAGACTTATTTTCTCCAGGATTGTAAGTATTATTATTTCTGTAAATTTAAAATTGCACAATTTACAATATTTTGTTTCATGTAAGATATGCATTGTATTTTTCAGAGACTATAATATTGAAACAGTTGCAGCTTGGCTAAAAGAGCAACAAAAAGCATTAGGTACTCAAACTAGAGTCTGTGGTACGGAGGAAATTGAGGACGACGTTGTTAAGATGATTGAACAAGAAGTTGAAGAGCTTGATACAAACACGAGTAGGACAGTACTCATGCAAGTCAAACCACATTTACTCTATAAACCTGGACTTAATACAGGTAGTCTTCCTCCGGATCCCAGAGCATATCACAGACTGTTCGATCGAGTGGTTTGCGTTCGAAATAGTTTCACGGTACCTCTTGGTTACAAGGGTACAATTATAGGAATACAGAAGGCAGATACTCCTGCCGCTTACGTTTACGAGGTTTTATTTGATGAGCCATTTGCTGGTAAGAAAAATATTCTTTTTCGGGGGTATAATATAGCTTGATAAATTTCATAATTGTATCTATTTTTAGGAGGATTAGTTATTCATAATTGCTCACCTAATCGAGGGTATCGATTAGCTTGTACAGATTTCATAAATATAACTTACGGTCAGCGTGCTGAAGATAAAAATGCTGTTAAATCTAACTTACCAGCTCAACAAAATTGGCGTACTCAGCCGCAATCTCAGCCCAAACAGTCTGCTTTAAAACAACCTCAAATTAAACAAGTTCAACTTAAACAAAATCAACCCAAACAAATTCAAGTGAAACAATCTCAATCGCTGCAACGCAAATTGCAATCACCTGCTACAACGGCGACTGACTTCAAGATGGCCCCTGATCCATCAATTCTCAATAGTATTCATCCAAAGTTTAGTAAAGATGTTAAAAATGAGAAACAGCAACAAATACCCAAAATATTGCAGAGGCCACCAGATGCCAAAAAAAAAGAATCACAACAAAAACCAACTGTTCTGAAAAAAGAAGATGAGAGTCAATACCAAGCTATATGGAATGAGCTTAATAGCATTCAGGTACATTTTTAATTGTTGCATGCATTAATTTTAAAATAACCGAAATAATCGAAAAATGGTTTTACTTAGGACCAAAAACAAGTCAATGCTGTAAATGAGCAAATCATGCAAATAATAAAGTCAAGCCCTCAACATAAAGTACCGGCGAAACTCCAAACGAGCGTGAAATCGGATGTAAAATCTGACTCTTTAATGAACGAAAAATCAAGTACAGATACTGTAAGTAAAAATAATAAGAACTACCATCAAAATTTGTATAAACTTTGTCTAAAAGTTATTAAATAATCATAATGTTTCATTGCACACAATTAACATATTTAATACATATTTTGAGAGAGGACCTTATATATTTGAAAAATCTCATATCATATGAAAATCAATCACTTATTGTTAAAATGTCTTATCAATTTTTTTATCTTGCAAGCTTTCTTGGAATAATCAGAATTGGGTAAATTATCTTTATTTTTCAAAAGTTTTAAAAAGTAATAAATTAGGATCTATTAATTTTTATAATTAATAGAAACACTAGCCGATTTTTCTATTTAAAACGTGTTGAATTTTTTCAATCTTTGACTTTTACAACAAATGATGGGTTATATTATGAAAATTATAATTAAAATATTAATTTTTAACGGCAGCCACAAGATCCAAGTGCATTCTTAAAGGCAATGTTGAAAATTAGTGATGACAGTCCTAATACATCTACTCATTCATCGCATCAAATGGTAACAACGACAGCGTCTACAGTTTCAACATCTCAAAACATCAGATCATCTAACATTAATTCGAGCTCAGTACAAGATGCGCCACCATTAGTTCAACAATTGTTTGAAGTAAAGTTTGATTTATTTATATAATCGTTCTATTTGAAAACAATTCTTATATCAATAACTCAAGCTAAACTATACACTAACAAATACATCTTTTCACATTTCTTTTACATACAATTTTACTGAAAATTTCATTGAAAAATAATAGTTCTAATACTTAGTTAATGTAGGTTATAAAGACAATAAATCCTTACTAACATTTGCAGGGATGTGTACTATTCATTACTGTAAAAATGAATTTTTTTTCTAATTCCAGAAAGCAAGAAAAGATGAATTGAACCAAGGCAATATCTTTTATTCTACACGAATATTGTCATACTATCAGCTACTAGGACAGGGTTTTCCACGTTATATTTACCTAAATAAGGATAATTTGGTATCAGCCCAAATAATTTTGCCCGATATGCGCGTTTTTCAAGGAGATTACGTTCGATCGCACTCTGCAGCTGCCGAGTCAGTGGCTAAAAAAGTTTACGAGGTACTTATAAAATTGTATTAGTTATAAATTATATCTGTAAATACTAAAATAAACAAATTGATAGTGTTTCACAAAAATTTTAATTTCTTATTTCTATTAAAAATTTCAGGAACTTCAATTAGATAAAATCCCGTATCCGCCAAATATTGCGCGATCTTCTGCATCGCCTATGCCACAACCTTCACCAACTCGACAACCATCACAACAACTTCAACAAAAAAATTATCAAGCTCCGCAATGGTTCAATAGACCACCAATACCTGCGGCTGGAGCGAGACCCATGCTACCTGCTGGTTTTCCCCCAGTATCTCTTATGCAAATTCCCATGCCAAAATGGAGTCCTCAGTGTCAACAAGGTCCTGGTTTTGTTCAGATGTCCCATTCCAACAATCCTCAACAGACCAGATTTCCGCAACCACCTTTCCAACAACAAAATATGCAAATACCTCCACAACAGATGCAGCAGCAGCAACAGAGCATGCCAATGCCTCCACAACATAGGCAACAGCAAAATATTTCAATGCCTCTTCAACAAATGCAGCAACAGAATATGCCAATGCCTTCCCAGCAAATGCAACAACAACAGCAGCAGCAGATTAACATGTCAATGCCGCAACAGCAAATGCAGCAGCAGAATATGCCAATGCCTCCTCAACATAGGCAGCAACAGAATATATCAATGCCTCCTCAACAAATGCAACAACAGCAACGAAATATGCCTATGCCTCCTCAACACAGGCAACAACCGAGTATGCCGATGCTTCCTCAGCAAATGCTGCCGCAGCAGAATATGTCGATGCCTTCGAAACAAAGGCAGCAACAAAATATGCCGATGACTGCACAAAAAATGCAGCAACAAAATATACCCTCTCATCAACAATTACAGCAAAATCAAGTGCCCCAGAAATTACAGCAAACCCAAAAAGTGCTGCCACAATCACCACAGTTCCAACAGGTCCAGCAAAATCAAAGAAAATTATCGCCTTCGCAAACAAACAGGAAAAAGTCAACCCCGTTTGTTCCATTGCAAGCTCAAAAGAAGACTCGAAAACAACATATTTCTGATGAAATGAAGCCATCAAAGGATAAAGATAAAAAAGATAACAAATCATCTTCACCCATGGAACAAAAGTTAAAATCTGGTGCAAACAAGGTAATTTCTTAATTTAATTAGTTAAGACAGTTTTTCTTGGTACTATTTTCAACTTATTATAAGTTCAGAAGCCCAATAATATTTTTTGTTTGTTTTTAGGAGGAAAAACAAGATAAACAGTCAAGTAATAAGTCAAATGAGCATGCATCTCAAAATAACCAAGCTCAAAATAATGCATCAAAAGGTCAAAAATCCAATGCTCAAAGACAAAGACGATCTCGAGTGGCAGCCAAGTTCATGGCTGATCCTATGGCCAATGGCAGTGATCGTCATTAAAATCGTTGAAAATTCATCAATTTTACGTATTTTATTCTTATACAAATTTGTAAAAACATTTTAAAAATTTTGAACGTCGGTGTTGCGATAATATGGATCCAATAAGAGTTTGAAGACAGTATGATTACAACTTTTCATGTAGTATTTTCTTCTTTATACCAATTATTTTTCATGCTTGTGAAAATGATTCTAGTGTGTTAACGAAGTAACACAAATGTGTTAGAATTAATATGTATTTCCGACGAACATTTTTAATTTAAGTTTTCAAAACGAATAAAATTAATTTTATTTTTGTAAAAACAATCAACACCACAATCAATTTAAGGCATAGTGTGAATTAATTTAATCTTTTTATGCATTAAAATGAATAATAATTGTTTATCACGTATTTTTATCTTAAAATCATTTTAAATATCTGAATGTGATTTAGATTATTGCCCAAACCTATCGATATATTTTCATTCTTAGGCTAACCGCAAAAAATTTTTTTTAAATGTAAACTTTTAAATTTTACTTTTAAAAATCTCTATCAAAATTAGGTAACCCAATATAATACTTAAAAAATCAATTCGATAAATTTATATTATTTATTTTATTTATAAAACAAAAGAAAATGTTTTGTTTTTAGTGTTAATTACACTCTGTAGTTATTTTCCTATTATATGGCGCTAAAAATTATGAACACAAATTTAATACATAGGTTACATGTAAAGATAGAACAAAATTTTATTTTATTTTTAATTTCATAAATTGAGTCTTACTATAAAAAAATTTTATGAAAATTAAGATTGCAAGTTCATATGAAACAAACCTATCTAGAAAATTCGATAACTACGTCTATGAGTATTCATCGGACTAAGCAAAAATTAAAAGAAATAACATTGGATTTAATAGTTATGATATCTTAATTCTAATTATGACAATTTTTTCATACGCCCAACTTATACTTTACAAAAGTAGAACGATACAAAAGTTATTCGTCAATTGTTATCACACATTGGTAGATAAACTCATTAAATATCATTGTTCATTTTAATTTTTAAATATTGAAAATTTGACCACAGTTTACTTTGCTCCCGTTGATTGTCGACACAGCAAACTAAAATCTTGTAGCTTATTGTAAAGACGACGCTTATTTGTTCTTTCGCGTAGTACATCCTGAACAAACATGTTTCGTTGGTTTTCAGTCACTGCATTGGCCTGTATGAGCGCAATTTGTAGCCACTCAGCTGTCCATTCGAAACAGGTTTTATTTAAAGCAAGGAGCACTTCTGCGTGGGGCTCAAGCTGTGATCTTGGTGTAACGCTTCCTATAAATATTTTATTATTATAAGTAAAGTGTAAAAAGACATACAATAATTTTATGGTAATTGAAGTAATTACCGATGCATTGTAGGAGAACACAAATCAACTCTTGACCGACAGGGTGTATAAAAGTTTGTAAATGTGGACTTGTGGTAATGGCATGTGTTAAAAAGTAGCCAGCAGCCTTAACAGTAGCATATTCAGGTAACAGTAGACAACCTATTCCTATAAGGTAAAAGTAATTGATAAAAATTTCATACATTCAAACAAACTAAATTTTCATTACTGTAAATTATGTTTTAATTTATAATTTTATATTCTAACTCACTAAAATTTTTCAATCTCTGCCACCTCAGACTCTGTTTATTACATATTTTAGTTATCACGCGTCAACTTTATCCTTAATTTGTCCCATCATTTTTACTTCATTTTTCTTTACTTGACTAAATTTCTTTTTCAGTCCCTCAATAACTGACAAATTGTTCAGCAAAACATTATTGTAAAATGCTTTGAGCTCTTGAAAAGCAGCCTCGTGTTCTTTTAATAATCGATCTACATGTTCATTTTTTCTCTCTTCAACTTCAGCAATCTCGACGTTGTGTCTGAGAGAAAAATTTTTTCTGTAAGCAGCTATTTTTTCGTCATATTTATCTTGCATGTCCAGGGTATTCCGTTTGAATTCCTCTTTAGCTTCTTCCAATACTTTTCTATGTTGCAACTTTAGAGCTTGTGTTTGAACGAGATTATCTAGATTGGCTTCATTTTGAATTTTCATGGCATTGTTGTTATTGTTGATTATTTCTGTTTTTTTCTGCACAAAACGGTTTTGGAATTTCTTCAAAGCTACTAAGTGTTCCACATTAATGGTCGCTGCTTCCGTTTGATAAGTATGAACGAGGTGGGTGAACTTTTTTCTCGATTGTAAAGCTTCATCCTCAAATTTTTTAGTAAAATCATGAGCTTCCTTTTTTAAAACACGATTAAGTGATTTTGATTCTTGCAGCTGCTGACGAGTTATATCCCAAAACGTTTGTATATTGTCTCGTTCGAGTTGGAAATAATTGCGCTCTTCGCGTTCGCGTTCCAATTCTTCGAGTAATTTGGCCGAGTAAACCTCCAGTTGTTCTTTGGTCATTTTGGCAATATCGACGCCGGCACTGTTCTTTCCGGCGCCTCCCGATCCCTTACCTGCTTTTGGCATTTTGACAAGGTTTTCGACCCGAGGTGGCAGAGAGTAAAAATTCAAATAATTTAGTTAAGTTCACTCGAGTGACGTTTTGACCGAATGAGTCAGCGTGCTTGGAAAAAGTCATGGTTGTTATGGTTACACGATCAACAATTTTAACGCTTTCCTGAGTAACGTCAATCAAGCAGAACAAACAGGTGTGAACTTCAAATTATCTTTTATGTGTGATTTTTAAAAATAAATGCAAATATATTTTTTAACTTACCGCATCTTAGCATTTCGAGTAACTGATCCGATACTTGAGACAATAGTCCCGGATTTTTTTTACATATATGACCAAGTAACGATAAATATTCTTCCAATAATTTCGAATAGTCTGATATACAATCACCATTTGCTCTGCAAGTTGCGACTGCTTGTAACGTTATTGAGTTAATTTCTGCAAAAATAGGTCCTATAAAATGTGCTTGAGCTCGACCAAACATCAAAACTGATAATTTTAGAAAATCTAAAGCAGCTGGATGAGGATAAATTTTATAAGATGTTAAAAGTATCGAGAAAAGTGATTGAGCATCTTGTTCCGGACATTCTATCGTTGTGATCGCCTTCTGCGCACAATGAAACATTGCTTCTATAATCTTTTCATCCTTTCTCCAAACAGGGTGACTAACAATCTATTAATAATAAACACAAGATCCGTATTAAAAAATTTGAAAAATGATTTATATGAATAAATAATTACGTACTTCTTGAAATATTGGTATCAAAACATTCAATACTGCATTACCAATGTTTTTTTCTAAACTCGAAAAAAACGTAGTGATCATTTTAAAATTATTAATGACACCAAATTGCGCGTCATTGCTCGATGACTGCAAGAAGTGTTTCAATCTCATAACACATAATCCTACTGTTGCGTCCAAATGCTGTATTCGGTCGCTTTCTAGCGACAGAGAGTTCAACAACTTTCCAGCTGCATACATTAATCTCAAGTCTTCACCTCCTCCTGGAGTAATGTTTGGTAATGTTCGGCCGATAGTTTGAAGAATAGTGGGTGCAAGAGGCTCCAAATGTTTATTGCACTCACGACATATGTCTTTTAAAGCCAAACTGGCTGCAGGCGAAGTAATAGGACCTGCTGTTAGGCCTAAAATAACTAAGTGTAAGGCTCGTTCTAACCATGGCTCTGGATTATTATAGATCCATTCAGCATAGTCACCCATTGCTGAACAAGCACTGCATAAAACCTAAAAATTGATTTAGTAATGATTATTTAAATATTCAAATCAGAATCATATTAAGACTTCAACTCACTTCTCGCGGAAATATGTCATAAGGTATATTTGTTAACAACAAATCCATTATTGCAGCAATATATTGGTTATCTTCATCAATCACATGATCACAAATTGCTCTAAAACCATGTATAGATGCTTCAACTTCATTCCATCGAGAAACATCATTATTGGGAACCATTAATCTTTGGCCTAAGAGTACCAAAAGATCTTGTCGCAAAACATTAAAACAGTATATTAAAGTATCACTGATATCTTGCCTATAAGAATGATTGAAAATATATTATTTGCAAATTATTAAAATTGTACTGGTGAAGTTTTAATTACCTGTAAATTCTAAACAATTCTTTATCTTCTTTAGAACCAGCCTCATTTGGTGGTGGTAAAGTTGACTTTTTAAGCAATGTATGAGTTAGTCTAGTGTAAATTGGTTGTAATTCATTTTTAGCCAATATATCTATTGGTGTTTCCAAAGTGTCTAAATCATCTTGTAAAGCATACCAAAATCCAAGGGGTATACAACTTTGTTTTTCTTCAGTCGGGTACCGCCCAGGTGTATCACAACATTCAAGTAGATAATCAATGACCTTTTGCGATAACCATTTGTGTTGTTCATTTGATACAGTGTTGTTTTCATGTTGAGGTGTAATAGCTAATAAAATAGTTCTGCTATGTGTTTCACCTAAAGATGAAAGTAGATCGTAATAATGTTTGGCACCATGATCCTGTACCATGAGGATTAAATTTTGTGTCCATTCAAAAAAAAGTAATGGCCTCTTGGTTAATTCTAAATTAACAATACTCATTGTAAGGCACTCAAGAGCCAATTCCCACCCATGTGTAGCATCAGCATCATCCATATCTTCGCTAATTAGTTTAAGTTTGAATTATTAAATTATCTCATTATATTAGATTTTTGAAAAATTTCTTCTTATATCATGAATATTGAAGTGAAATCTTACCTTTTTGGTAAAAATCGACTACATCCCATTAAAAAATATGGAAACAAACGTTCCACAGTGTCCAAAGATAAATAGTCAACTTTTAACCATGATGCTGCACACTCTAAACATAGAATATAAATAGAATTGCTGGAAGGATCATTAGACTGACTACAAGAGTGGAAAATTTGTTGAAGAAATTCTGCAACTTTTCTCCAATTGCGGGAAATGTTTTGGCGATTTTTCAACTCATTATGTTGTTGGCATTTATCAAACTGAAAAGAAATTAATTTAAATGTTTGTAAAATTTACTTGTTTCATTACTCATTTATCGAAGAAATGAAAAATTACTTCGCTGGGTAAAGCTTCAAAAATTTTCATGACCAGTTTCGTTGTATCTGGGGTATCACAAGGTAATGAACATATTACTTCATCTACAGCACTTCTATTCGTATCTTCATAATTAGCCATGAATGCTGCTAACTATATAAATAAAATTTAAAATACAAAAAATTTTAATGGTTTTTTTTTATATTTTATTCTTACAGCTTGACAGAGCCTAGATGCAATGATTTTTGTTCCACTAGAATGTTTGAGTGCTTGTATTATTTGAGACTGCAAAGCAGAATATTCAGATTTTGGAACTTCGCACCATTGTTTTGAAATTTTACTATATAATGTATTTGCAGCATAAAATTGCACTTCTGGTGGCTGTAAAAATTTTATCATATTGACAATTGTCAAGTTGAAGATAACTTTTAATGAAAAATTAAATTTTAAAATATTATTATACTTGAATCCATACCTTTGAGGAATCTAATAATTTCCAAACCAATGACCAAGCTTCTTGTGATTCTTGTAATCTGACTAGCCAAGAATGAGCTTCATTATTTCCACTGGCATAAAACGTTTTGAGAGCATCTTCGATGTTTAGTGTTTGAGTTTGATCCATTTTTAAATAATTCGATGTACTCTTGTCATAAAAAATAAAAACTTCTTAAATCAATGATAGCTGTAAAAAAATTAACAAAAACATTATTATGACAAGTAGTGAAAAATTGAAATAGACACATAGTGTTTTGAAAATTAACATTAACCTTACGTTCAAAATAGTCGGCTAAATTTTAGGAACTCAAATTAGGTAAAGAATTTTTACGCAGAAGTACGTTCGCATAAAAATAAGTATATTTAGACCTTGAAATAAGGATAAGCTTCAACATAGCTGTGTGTAAATGAAAAAAGGTCGTTTTATATTTAGTATAATGTATTTATCTATACATGTGCAGATATCAATGCGCACCTCTGTGGTGTCACAGTAGTAGTAAAAACTGTCAGCTCATAAAGAGTCTAATACTCTAATGCTGTATAATGTGAAGTCCTAGAATCAACTTACAATAATAATGTGCTTTTGAGAAAAGTGGACTTTGCTTGATCACCTACAGATGGCGAGTAAAAAAATATAACTCGCTCTATTTCACATGTTTCGATTAGTGTATGACGAAAAAAGTCTCGTACGGCAGATATATTTCATAATATTACGGGGATGTTCATCCCGGCATAACTAATTGTTCAAAGGTGACAAAGTAGCATACACACTCGCCGATCAAGAATCTCATTTAAATAGTAACCAGTAAAAATATCTGTAACAAATTATAGATTGGTTTTTTTTTAAACAATCTGAAGTTCCATAAGTTATTGTCAGATTTGGATTTTTTTAACGTTTCAAAAGTGCAAACGGTAAAGTGTTCTTGGTGTTTTGTTTTAACCTGTTTTTTACGATACTGTGTATTACCGTAATTGATGGTATTTAATTATTTAAAACGAAAGAATACCGACTTATACACTATGGATTGCACTCCAAATAAAGGTACTGTATATTTGTGTTTGCGAAATTGTTCAAAAATTTTTTATATAAATTCACATTTTGATTGATTTGATATTGATTGCAGTGGCTTTAGTTGAGAGAAACATGGCTCCTCTAAATGTACAACTAGTTGATGCAAAAGCTATAGCTAAAAAAGCTCCCAATGATCTGGTTGAATTAGCTATGGAAATACAAAAGGTAATTACATCGATTTATAGTCCTTAAATAGATACCAATACACACGATACATTTTTTCAAAATTTATTTCACAGGCTGATAACTCAGTTAAAGTAAGTGCCTGCAGCAAATTGCAAGTTATTGCGGAACAAATGAGGTTTTTACAACAACAAGCTCATCGTATTTTGTTGGAAGCAAAAGAAAATTCATCAAGACACCATGCTGCATGTAACTTTGTAAAACATCCAGGAAATATATATCATCTATATGAAAAAGAGTCAGGTCAATCATATTTTTCCATGTTAAGTCCACAGGTAATAAAATTTTATAAATTACTTGAAAAAAGTTAAATTTTGCTCGATATTAATGTAATATTCAAATATAAATCATGTTTTTCAAGGAATGGGGTGAATCTGGACCTAAACAGACTTATAAGGGTTCATTTAGATTAGAACATGACTATTCTTGGACTCCAGTATCAGAAGTTGAAACCAAAGATAAAGAACTAGCATTAATAAATAGACTCTATGAAAATAATGAACTTTCTTCAAATGTTTCCTTAACAGAATATATGAGTATAAGTGACAGTTGATCATATTTTTAGTTAATTTCTTGTTATAATGTATTGCAAGAACTTTTGACTTGAAAGAGTCTGAAACACCATTTTTATACATATTGTAGTTATTTCAATATTGAATTAAATACTTTTGTTGAATTATTTTTTATGGAAATTACGTTTTATTATTTAATGGAAAAAAATAAAATAACATTTTGATGGTTAGTATTATGATGTTCAACAATTATAAAAAAGTTTATTCGCCCTCGTTTATCTAATAACATAATAAGCTACATTTTGTATTATAACACATAACAGCTTGCTTTTGTAGCAAAACTTGATGATCAATTGTACAATTTATTACATAACTTCCACTTCTATTTCAACTTCAATTATGTTTCAGTAAACATTTTTTCCTGCAATAAGATCAGTGCATAGAAAAGCGATTTAATTTGATCAATAAAAAATAGTTTTTCCACCATTTCTGCGCATTTTAATGAGTTCCTGGCGATTTCAAAATTAATTTTTACAGTACTTTCATTCTATTGTAAGTCAGGACATTAAAAATTTTTAACATGCATGAGAATTCATAGAATTTACAAATATTCACTGTCAAAAATAGTATTTATACCTTGTTAAAGATATCCTAATTTTTTGCCACACACAAAATTACTTTAAATTTCCTATAATCAATTTGATAGTAATTGTTTAACTTTGATAATTTGGTTTCATTTTTTAAACAGCCATTGGAATAAAGAAGTTTATATACTATTATTAAACAAAATTTTCAACAATTGATTCTTTAGTAAAGACAGGGATTTGAACAAAACTTATTATAAAAGAATCAGTTGGATCTCCATGGCAAGTAAACCAAAGGATCGTTGCGACCTTTGGTTTCATGGGTATTTCTCCTATGTCATGTGGTGTTTACACGATGAGCTAAAAAAGAAATAGCAATTAAGGAAGCATGAAAATATAAAATTAAAATTTATTATTAAACATACATGGTTTTGGTATCCTTAGAGGTTCAGCATCTTTTACTAAACATTCATGAGTTTGCATGTGGAACAAATACTGCAAGAGTAACTGCTTATCTTCTCCAACACATGGATCATAGAAACCAGGCAATTGGCTCTAATGAAAAGTAAAATGAAAATTTCTCAATTTTTACATTATAGTTACGATTGAAAACAAAATATTTTACCTTGGACGCATTATGTAGTACGAGTTTAGAATCTTTTACGAGGCACTGCAATGGAATGGTCACGTCAATTATTTCATCTCTTTGTCCAATAGCAGCTTCTTCGGCAGGACTCGCACCATGAGGATAAACAAACCTCCCATATAATGCTTTTGTTATAACTAAACCTTTCCTTTGTTCTTCCTCAGCTCTAATTCTACTGAAAGTAGCTTTCATCAAATCTATAGCTGCTTTAGCTTCTCTTTGCTTTTCCAATTTTATACGTTTATTCGCTTCTCGTTGCTTATCTCTGTCTCGTTGTTTTCGTTCTCGAATTATAGGATCAACAACGAAATTTTTCAAAAGAACCCAACTTATGAGAGGAGCTACTGTAGCATAAAACACTGGTGCTGGATACAAATCGTCGCTCAATCGGATAGGAAAGTTATAAGTTTGGTATGCTCGTTTGAGTTTTATTCTAAGACTAACTCCAGTAGGTGTTCCAACATGTACCATTGCGGAAACTGTTGTGTGTTGAGAAAGTTTTTTTTCTGCTCCATACTCCACAAACCAGCCAAATGTACCCAATCTATAATTTAATTATTTATTATTTGATTGGTTACTGAATTTTAAATTAATAAATACACATACTTTACACATCCTTTAAGGTCTAATTGTCTTTCCTCTAATTTATGAGTGTAGCTAAGACTAACAAATGAACGCAGTAGTGCAAATTCAATTGAAAAGGCAGTGTATGATTGAGGAGTACTTCTAACAATAGTTGTATTCATTCCACTTTGAATTCCTGCTCTGCATGTAAGGTATCCAATTGTGTGAGTATCTAACTGCATTGTAAGAGCTGTAAACAAATGTTGATGTTAATTGTTTGATCAATTTTATCTATATTAATCATAAGTTAATTTGGCATACTTCCTACAAATCCAGGAGTTATTTCATTTGGATTGACTCTTAGTACAGTTCCACCATTGAAAAAAATCCGTTTAGTCAATGACCTATATCCTCGAAAACCCAACGTTGGTCCACTTCCTGCACCTACTTCTACTTCAAACCAACCTCGCTGAGATACAAGACGCCTAACAGCAAAATTGATTGAACCAGAACCAACACCGTTTTTTATGCCTAATTCACCTCCTAGTACAGCTGTATCTTTTAATGTTAAAGGGGCCTCAATTGATTGTGTTAAAGACATTCCACTGACTTCAACAGCTGAAAATATACTGTTCCTAATAATAAAGTATTTCTCTTAATAATAATTATAAAAATGTTAGAAGAAAAAGGATTATTTATGAGCAAACCTAGCAAAGCCATTCCTACTGCATGGAGTAGCAATGAAAGTATTAATATTAATAATTACATAACATTCTTCAAAAAGAGTTGATTTTAAAGTAAGTGTTAAATATACCTTAAAACTATTAATTATGATTAAGAAACTAGTCATATTTAGTGTTATTAATAGTGCTTAATTATGAGTTACATCATAAGTATTAGTTATTTTACAAAATATAAGTACATTAAAATTATGAACAATTACATAAAAATAAAACTTACCCAACATCATCATAGTCTTTACTATAATCATCAGTATATCTACTGAAAAAGTCAGTTGCATTAATATTGACAGTAACACTCCCTTTTGGATTAGTACGCATTAACAGTCTTCTTTCTTCTTCTTCTTTTGCCAATCTTTCGTATTCTTCTCTCAACTCTTGAGGAGTTTTGGTTCTTAGTGCAATTTCCCATCCTTCTGTATCTAATCCTCTAATTCCTAGTGAGTCATATATTGCTCTTTTATGTGGATCGCTCAATACTGAAACAAACAAATAAATACATTATTTTATAATCAGAAGCATCATTGATAGAAAAATAATATACATTATAAAGCTCACCTTCATAAGCTTTACTGGTTCTATTAAATAGTATTTCAGCATCTTTTTTAAGATTTGGATCTGTGTGCTTGTCAGGATGATAGCACTTACTGAGTCTTCTATAGGCATTACTAATTTCTTCAGGAGTTGCCTGATAACAAAAATTTTTAAGAAATTAATTTTAATAAAAATTATCTTAAAATAATGCTTGGATTGTAAGTTTTAAAAATAAAATTTCATGGTGGTTTAGAAATGCAAAATAGTAAAATATGTGAGATGGTTGATTGAAAATGAAACATACATGGTCAGCTACTATCAAATCAAATTGATCATATCTAACAATATTGGACAAAAATTAATGAATAGAAATAAAATTTGATAGCATTCAGATGGTAGAGATCTAAAATAATTGCAGCCAATTTATAGTATTTTTGGCTATAACTGATTACTTCATCTGATTAAAAGAATACTCGAGTTATGAGACGAGCTGTGAAGAAATTGATAGGATTTTTATAATCAAACAAAACAGTTAAGACGAAAACGACTCCTCTAGTTTGTTGTTTATGTCCTTAATTTTTTGTATCAGTGCATAAAGTCAATGTTACGTCAGCAAATCGCAGACTTGCCGGGGTCACGTGGAGAGATCGATTTTGCAAATAAACCCTAGTTTAATAGGCAGGTAAGGGACTGTCCGCGAAATAGGCATCATTGAGCTTACATTTCTTGGCACATTGAGAAATGTGTAGAAATCCTCCTCCATGCGGTGCGGGTCTCGCTCGTCTTCATCCATGCTCGCACACGATGTCACACAGGATTTGATGCGCTCTAAAGAAGGTGCGTGTTGCGAAAAGTGATATTCGCGCTAGCAGCAGCCGTACACCTTGGGCGAGTGCGACTCGGACTTGGGATGCCCGACGTGAGCTTGCTTCAACTCACACTCTTCGAGTCTCTCTTGCTTTCTTTCTCTCTCTCTTTCTCGCTTTCTCTCTTTCTCTCGCTATCTCTCGCAATCTGAAATCGTGCTCCCCGCGGTCGACTGCAGGCAGATGTCCGGCAAGGCTGCTCTGCTGCACTCTGCTGCTGCTGCTGCTGCTGCTATTTAGCTGACTGTATAATTTTGCTTCGTCTGCTGCCCAGGTCGCGCGAGCGCACGCGCTGGCAAATGTATCCCACGACCCACCCTCGCAGTAGGCAGCCCGCGGAGCACTCGAGCATCGGCTCGTGCACTGTTTGCCCCACGCCGACTCCCCGATGCCTTTGAACTCGTCTCAATGCGACGTCATGATGTTCACCGATTCTCATGTGGCGCTTTGCAGGGTTATGTTGATTAGCGAAAAGCACGAAACATCTTTAATTAATGCTATTCTCGAGCAAAATTTAGAATATAGGGCATCGATTTCATTGCCTTATTACCAACCTCATCAATTCGAAAACGCGAAGCAAATTTCAATTTTGATGAACGATTTAGATGAGAGGTGGCAGCACTAGTATAGGAATTGCGGCGTTGAATTTAATGAAAAGCGCAATTGGAAAATCGAACTTGCAAGGCGCAACAGTTTACATTTTCAAATTTTATCGAATTGTTTTGCTAAACTACATTAAACGACTCCACAGTTTCGTTCAACCCATCGGTCGGTTGTGAGCAAATTTTCCTTCGTATACGTTTAAATTGATTTTTCGTTCACAAAATGTCTTTCGTGCACAGCCTGTTCTCTTACGATAAAAATCAACCCAAGAATCCATTACAGGTATGTTGGCGTGCAGCTACGATTCCCAATTACATCGGGAATGGAAGTAATAAAGTTTCGAATGCAGAAGTCGATGCCATTGACCTCGTGGACTTGTGGTATACACCCTTTCTTTACTCCTGAGACGAATTATTCATTATAATTAGAAAAATGCGTGACGATTGCTCGATGTTGACAGCAATCAAGTTCGAGCTTTTTTCGATGGGGAGAAAAAATGTCACCTCTACGTTTTGGCCCAAATTATGTACGGTGCTATGCGAATTTTCAATCAACAAGTAATATCGCTCGAAGGTAACGATAATTTCTTTGCCAAGCTTCTCAGTTATTTTTCCCTATCCATTAAGTGTGAAGATTTTTTTAAAGACGCGAGTGAAAAATTATCGACGAGAATCGAAGAGGAAAGTGCATCCGTTCAAGCAACGATGGACGATTTTCCCTCCTTGGACAAATTCATCGTTGAAGAAATTCCGCAAGCAAATGTAGAAAATTTATTCTCTCCTGAATCACCGGTCGATACTAATTTGATGGACGAAACTAACTTAAATCAGCTATCGGGAATGGAATTAGTATGTTTTTTTGCATTATTTTTAGCACTGATTCAATCAAAATAGTATCATAGTTTCTTCTCTGTATTTCATGCGATCAGGATGAACCAATTCATAATGATTTTGAAAATGACGATTCATCTTTGCCTGAAATAACATCGAGCCCACCCGAAGATTTTCTAATTGCTGTTATTAGTCAAGAACGCTTTGATGAACCGGATTTCCCCATACGATCGCAAAGGCACACATTCTCCTGTCCTGTAAGGATTAAATTAATTTAAAGAGATTTGTTGCATCGTAAATGAGTCAATATGTTTCATACAGACTGCAACATTAGATCTGTCATCGATATCCGAACAAGCACAGACTGCTGCTACCCCTCCGAAAAGGCCAAGGTTGAGCACGTGGCAGCCAGAATTACCTGCATCGCAAACCAATGTGTTTTTTATCGATCAATATTTAGATTACGAAGAGACGATGCCGGACGCCGATCTACCGCGTATAGAAGCGACTCAACTACCCGACGAGCTTGTAGAAATCTCTGAGGTTCTTCCCGAGATAAGTTTAAATTTGCCGGAATCGGAAGCAGAACCAACGCTACCTGCTATACACGGTACATTTTTTTTCGTACGTCTTTGTCATTTATTATCCTATGTACAATATTCACAGACGATAGTACGATAGCATTGATCGAACCTGCATTGATCGAACCAAATCAAGCGCCTTCGGAACAACGGACGAGCCAAGGGGAACACATCGATGCACTTACAAAGAATCATACCCACCGAGGAGGAAAAATCAAATTGTTCGACGGAGAAGAAAAATTATTACTTTCTAATCCGCAAAATCTTTCGCCTCGGGTACACACTAGAGTACGCAATTATAGCACGAAATTTACGCAATTTTGAATTGATCATTAATAAAATAATGTTTTGATTATTTTTAGAAACGAGACATCGTTCGGATTCGCCCGGAGTCGTCCGAGATTCTCCATTTGCCAAGCACCATGTCGAGGACATATGGCTGTTCATGGGCTCGTTCGATTTTCAAAAAATTTTGGAATGAACTACGAATGCGTATAATACCTGAACCTGTGCAGGGTAATTTTATAAACGATTTTAATGATATTATTTATAAGATGCTCAATAATTTTATAAATGAATATTATATTAATTTAAACATCTTTCATTAAAATCTTAGGACAAGCAGTGGATTCAGCTTTACCTGCAGTTGTCGATAATCATTTGATACGCAGTCCACGGATAAATCTTGAACCAATCGACAATCTCATCTTAGCAGCGAAAACCGACAAAGATCGACTAGTGATGGAAAATGTAAAAACATCGATTGTCGAGTCGATTGATTTTGAACCGGTACAATCTCAACCGGTGTTGACCAGCAATCATTTGATACGCAGTCCACGGATAAATCTTGAACGAATCGACAATCTCATCTTAGCAGCGAAAACCGACAAAGATCGACAAGTAAACCGAAGTGAAGAAGCGTCGATTGTCGAGTCAATTTATTTTGAACCGGTAAAAACTCAACCGGTGTTGACCAGCAAACATTTTATACGCGACATCCGTATAGTTCTCGAACGCATAGATAATCTTAACATAGAAATGAGCAACGACAAAGATCGACGAGTAAACCGAAATGAAGAAACGCCGATTGTCCATTCAATTGGTTTTGAACCGTCACAAGCTCAACCGATGTCAATTGACGAAGAACCTGAGATAATCGATTCGGAGTGTGGTTCGGTGCGGGATCGCGATGAAAACTTTTACGACGAATTATTGCCACCGGCGAAACGATCCAAAATTACGTCTCCCAGAACTAGTTCAGCGCATCAATCGTAAGTATTTTAATAAGTAAACTGTACCTATCATGAAAAAAAAAATAATTTTCAATTTTTAGTGAAAAAGTAAACTGTACCTATCATGAAAAAAAAAATAATTTTCAATTTTTAGTGAAAAAGTTGTCGAAAATAATGAAATAATTTTGGAACGAATGAATTTTTTCCGTACCATTCAAAAATTGTGGAGGAAGATGTCAACACGCGTGTCGTTTCAAACCGTAGTCAATCCATTAAATAGTACTCCTGAACAAGCCTATGATAATTTTATTCATTGCTTATGTAAGTAGTATCATATTTTCATTGTTATTTATTTACTCCCCAATTGAATTCATAAACAAGGTTCTTACTTTCATATAATTTTTTTATAAAAAATAAAAGTTTACCGTGGTAACAATAAACATTTTACCTGTGACTTATTGAATTTTATGTACATATAAGAATTTTTTTTTCAGATTTGGCAACATATGGAAAAATAAAATTGTATCAAAAGCAAGCATATTCAACAATTTTCATTCTAAGGCCGTAAGTTATGATCAGTTATATTTTATGTTATAAAAATCTCGAATTTCAACTGGTTTATGTTCATTGAAACGAATCGTTGCATTTGTAATCATTACATGTGATAAATACACGTACATGCGCATGAACTCGATTTATTAGAAAACAAATTAAACAAATAAATGTTAATAGAAATAAAAAAAATTAAAATCGAATAAATATTTTTTCTCTCCCTCGAATTATATGAAAATCGATATACTTGATCTCTGACAAGACCTGCGTATGGGTTAAGAGTTATGGCTTTAAACGCGCGTATAGGTGTATTATATTATATATTGTACGCGCTGTGCGTTCACAATGAGCTTACTCTGATTTCGACGGCATAATGCTCGTCGTCGTTTTTCCTGGAAGGCTCAATAATGAAATGAAAGCTGCGATTTGTTTCTCGGAATAGCGATATACACGCTCGTGCACTGCGGATCGTTAAGGCTATTAAAAATCGACTTGCTGAAATTTCCTTCTTCGTCAAGATTCATTTAATCTCTTTCTTTGGCTCTTGAGGTCGAGCTTTATGTTTCCTTATCGATTCGTATATTTCGCTAATGTTCGCTATTCGTGTATTCGTATACTTCGATTCGGGTCAAATTTAAATTTTTTCAGTATTGTTAGGACGTAATTTACTTACCGATCAAGTCTTGTCACTCGTGCGATCAAGTTGAATCGCGAGCAGATCGATCCACCACCGTCATCGCAAAGAAACGTTTTTGATAGTTGGACGTGTAATGGAACGTTGAAGCTGGACGAAAAGTGCAAATGTGGCATTCTCGAGCGAACGAGCTCGATGTTAATTATTGAAAACAATTCGAGCGAAGCGATCGTCGATATTATACACCTGTTCCTGTTTCCTGTGGCCTCGGGGGCTCAAACGACATTGATCGGCGCTCGTCCACACGTCTCTCCGGGTTTCGGGTATGATCATTATATTATTTAAACAATGCAAAGAAGAGCGAACACGTTCTCGTGCACGGCGAGGAGATACAGCCGCGGGCACAGAAGATCGTCGATTATACACTGCACCGAGTTACAATTGGAATATCGCGAGAAAGAGAGACAGAGATAATCACGGCCACGAAGCGATTCGCCAGATAGGCACTTTTTCATTTTCTTCTGTACGGCCGAGTCGAGCTTTGGGAGGCGAGAGACGAGTGGACGTATTGCACGCAAGCTCTGACAATGACCTCGATTCCTTCGTACACACAGGATTGCTCAACAATTTTTTTTGTCGCCTCGAAATCGCGTAGCGCTTATTATATACATACGTAACAAGGTTGTGCGAATTTGGCGAATCGACATATGCGCTGCCGCCAACTTAGCAGAAAAGTCATTTTCAGCTTTCCTGGCGCATTTTTGACATACCAACTAGAACCTCGCTAGTACACGTATCGCCGATAGCAGATGCTTTAACGAATCCATCGTGTTGCATTGTTTTGAATAGCGCTCAAGGACACGTTGGGTGTGTAGGCGCTCGAAGTTGTCGATAGCAGTGTTTACAGCAACACACAGGAGGTAATCATCGATCGAGAGTCGACATAGGGAAGCTCGCGTGTATATATCGCGATAGAGAAGAGTATACAGGCGTACACACGGAGCGGAGGCATAGCTTTCGTAAGATGTAGTCGCGGGCTGGCTGTAATATATAGAAGCATAGAAGCGGTGGAGGAGGAAGGCGGCGTCAAAGGTAACTCCGCCCGCTGGCGCATAGCTCGGTAGTACTTGCAGAATGCAGCTCGTATATAGTGCAACGAAGTAATAGGGGTCAGGTCTGGTTGCGGCACGGCTTTTCTTTCTCTCTTTTGGCTTGCGCAAGCGTCCCCGTATATGCTGCTGGCGATGCACCTCCCACTACGAGTGCTATACGCGGCTCCGTTGCTGCGATCAGCGAGAGAGAGAGAAAAAGAGACTCGAAAGAGCGCGGGGGTCGACGCGACCAAGAGCTCCGTCGAATAGCCGCTACTACTGCTACCGACGATCCGACGATCAGCGCCGAGCGAGGACTCCGGGAGTCGACTCGTATATACACGAGCGAGCGATCGAACTGAGCCGGCAGCACATTTCTGCATGTCTCTCAAACACATTGCGTAGCTTGACTCGAGCGTATCGGCGCGGCTACTACTATATACCAAATCGACGACGAGACAAAAGTGTCGTGTGCGCGAGCGCGTGCCACTGCGCACCGGATGCCAAACGTCTTCTTCGGGAACGAAAGCTCGGTAGCTCCTGATCCCGTCTATCAATCGCTCGATCTGTCAGTGTTGTGTTCGAATAAAAAACATAACGGAATCTAAGATATTCCCAGTGGATTACAGTAAACTGCAGTGGTTGCGACACTTTGTTCGCTTCTTTTTTTGGAGCACTCGAGCTCAGTGTGAATCGAGCCTCGATGTTTCGTTCCTTTTGCGTGCACGATTAGGAGGGAATCGCATCGCCGAGTGCCCATTATTCATCGACCAGTGCAAAACTTTAACTCGTACGCCTCTGCAAGCTCGCTCAGCTCCGATCGGAATAAACATGTAAGTTCATGATTCAAAGTTTAAGTGGGAAACGAGCAGACGATTGAGATGTATACGAATAACGAGACGATACGAGAAAATACGTATCGCGAGTTTTTAGCAGTAATTGGTCGTTGCGAGCAGGTTATTGTCTGCCTCGCCCAGTGCATCGCTACGTTTCTCATACGATTCTATTCGATCGAGAGATGCGTTTCGATCGAGTGCTCTCCTCGGTAATTTAGATAAAGCCGGAGCTCTCTTCTCTCCGAACGAGATAGCTCGTAAGAGCGAGGCTGTGTGCTACAGCTTTATCAAACACTTATACCCGCGATTATTGTAGTTACGTCAAACAAAACTGATTTTTTTCTCATTCTCGTGTGTATAGGCAAACTGACATCGATCGTACGACGGTGAGATATTGACGTTTCGAGATGATCGCGGTGACGTGATTTTATTATGTGTGTCAAACTTACCTGTGCCACTTTTTCTTTGTTGCAACGCCGCGCGTTAGACGCGATTAACACACTTATTGTTTCGCTCGTATGTGTTACGTACGCTCGTTTCGATGAATATCGTTTTGGTGCCTCGAATTGCTGCGATCATCAATTTCGTTTGCGATTTCGACTTATCGAGTTAGCGAGCCTACATCGCAATACTCGAAGAAAGCTCCTCGCATTGTCCAAGTGCTACGTCGAACGAGCAAGTATCGTAAGCCCTTATTGTGTTAAGAGACTTGAATTTTGCTTTTAAGCTTCGCGTGCTAAGATTGCTTACTCGTGTTTCGAGATGCGATTCGTGAAAAAAGAACGACTTAAATCTCACTTGCGTCGACACGGATCCTGCATACTTAAAAAGGGTTGTGTGATGCGCTCAAGCTCGTGGTCCTGAAGCTCGATTCGAGCCATTAATCTGGAGCTTCCGACACTTTGCAAGCGCTCCGAGGCTTAGCGACAATTAATTAGGTCTCTCTCTTTCTCTCTCGCTCGTCGTGTAAAATTGCCATCCGCCGCAGCGGAGCAAGACCGCGTGTGTGTATTTGCGCATTTTATATACACGCGCGCCTACATATTTATAATTTATCCCTTTCTCTGGGCGCATCAAAGCAAAATAAGAGGCAACAACGATTTCTCTATAGGCGCCGCTAGCTTCTTTCCCTTTTTTTCTCTTTCTCTCTTCTTTCTTTCGAGTTACACGCGCGCCAACGACTTGCGGATTGTCGAGTAAAAAAAAAACCATAATTAATCGCTACATGCGTGCGAGGATGAATTTTATTCGGATACATACTACGTTAGTACGTAGGCATCATCAAACGGGTCGCGCGCGCACGTACGAGCGCGTTTCATCCGTTCCGCTACTTGGGCCGGATGCAGCCCTCTATAATATGGGCGCTGGCTAGAATGCCATCGGATAATGTTGGGCGCCCCCAATAGATCATTTATACCTAGACACCGACGACTCGAGGCATTTAAATATAAAATTCTCCTACTTATTGTGCATCCACGCGACGACGACGACGCCTTGGCTAAGCGACGCACCGATGAATTATGAGCTTCGATCGTGATCTATTGGGGGAGTCAGTACGACGCACGACCACTTCTTTTCTGCCTTTTTATTCTTACTTTTTAAATAAAAATCTGAATCATATCGGTATTTTAATATTAGAAAATAATGTATTGCTTCTCTATAGAGAAAAGGGAGAGAGAGAGAGAGAGCTTACGTTTTTATCGATATTGTTTTCATCGCTCAAATGACAGATATTTACAACTCGTCGTGCGGCGCTGTTGTCCGAGCTTTTTCGCTTGTTTTTCGCGCTTCTTTAACGCGGCGAGATAAAAACTCGACCCGAAAAGTTCACGCGTCGAAGCACGAGAGGTTCGCGAGTTCCTGCTATACGAGAGTGAAGATGCCGCTCTCTCGGCACTCTGGGCACGTGTTGACGATTAGAAAAAAAAAAGCAAACGGAGAATTAGTCATCGCGTTCGAGTGATGCACTCCGCGGCTGCAGTTTACTCGCTGTCTCTCCCTCTCTCTCGAGGGATATCTTTACGAGCTTGTAAAACTATGGTGCTGCGCGTAAAATGCACAGGGCGAATGTGCGTCGGCTCGTAATTTTTACCCGTCGCTCGCCGAGATAAGCTATAAAAAGTGAATTCTTTGATCTTTCTTTATTTCCGAGCGTCATCGTCGCGCTCTTGCTACCGAGACACGTATAAGCAATAGATTAAAAAATAATGGATTAAAAACAGCCGTCACCGACGCTGTTTTTTTTGTCGTAGCATCCCGACTCGCAACGATCATCGGGAAGCAAAGAACGAGTGAAATTGCGCCCTCGGATCGCCGGCTTTATACACTGTTTGTCATGGCAAGCATATTGTTTTGTCACTTTTGCGACACTTGGTGTCTCCTCCGTAAGCCTATTCGGCAAGTCGGTCAACTTTAGATATAAAATAAGCTTGTTTTGTATATCCCGATCTCGTTGCATAAACAAGCCATTTTTTAAACTTGGCTAAGTTTTTCTCGCTGACGACGAGATTGCTTGCGTCGTCGTCGTTGTCTATTGGCGTCAATGAGGCTCGAACGCGAAGAGACTCGTAGCAATTAGCCTAAACTTTTTGACTTTTTCTCGAGTGAACCGCGCGGGTGGACGCGCAGCCTCCTACGCGCAGCTATATAACTCACACTTGAACCTATTATAAGTAGGCAAGATTTATGGGCCACTAAATAGGAGCGATTGTAAGTCGGATATTAAAAAAACCTTAAGTGCCTCGTTTGAGGTACAGCTGCAGAGACTAAAATCGTTGGTTCCGTTGCTGCATTCTTCCGACACGGCAATTGCTTTTTCGATTTGCGATATTTTCGGCGACTCTTTCACGACGAGATTGACGATACAACCTTGAATAATTCGACCGCTAAATGATAGACCAATATGGACTTTTGAATAGTCCCATTGAATCGCAAATCACGAGCTTGTTTGCTCTCTTTCATCTTGGGCGCGCGTCGATGAAAATTTTTCTATAATTAATTTACCCCGGAATTTATGGGCATCATTTCACTTTCCACAGATATACCTCTTCGCGTAAATCCGAATAAAAATAGACCGTCTCGACGCGTCTTTCGAAAACTTGAATCCGATTAGTGTGTTTTAGTAATAATTCTCGTTAACATCACTATTTGGTAGGGTCTATTACGTCTGGAAAAATAATATTTTGATGTCTGCTTCTTTAAAGATAATAACTACACGTAATTTAGATACTTATATTGTCGAGTATTGTTTTTCAACAAAGTAATAGATCTTCACGCGTAATAAATCCACTCCAAGTTATTCTTATGAGCTAACGAAAAGTAACAAGGTAAATTATTTCATATAAATTGGCATATATATTGGCTACTTGTACAGCTTGTTATTGGAAAATTGTATAAATCTCAAATGAACCATTTTTTTCATTAAATATTTGTAAAAATAATGTCGAAGGCGTAAAAAAATATGATACTTTCTCACGAGCACCGTATATTGTTACTAATAAATGTTTATTTGTCTTTTTCAGAATATAAAAGCTAGAAAAATTCCAATGGAGCTTAAATGTATTCAAAATTTCAATGATCCCACCAGAATCAATTAAAATTTTAACAAAGAAAAACTCGATTGAAACGAGCGAGAGCAAGCGTCAGTCCTGGTCTAAAGCTTACAAGCTCCACGCAGTTTATACGAGTCGACCGACGGCGGCTCGTGACAGCTCGCGAGAAAAGTGGCTTTCTCGGCCACTGCCGCTCTCTTCGAGAACTTGGTAGCAGCCGAGCAGCTGCACCAACAGCAACAGCAGCAGCAGCATCAGCAGCAGCAGTACCTGAACTCTTACATGAGCAGTCGGCACGCCTGTGCTAATGACAGCTACTTCGACGAATCACTGTCAACAACGGCGGCCACAGTAGCGTCGACGACGACGGCGGCGACATCCTTGGCGGCGACGGTAGCATCTCTGGACGGGACCAGGATGGTCTCTCACGTCATACCCGTTAGCTCTGGAGTTGGCTCATCCTTCGGCACCACGATGAACTTGCACAACGACCTCTATCATCATTACGTGAGTCGTTTGTTTTTCTTTTTCATTTCTTTTATTTTCAAATCTAATTTTACAAGCGCGAATGCAGAGAAATTAAAAATATATATTATATGTGAATCCGCTTTTGTTTGTATATACTTGGCGAGCTGTTAACTGCTCGCGTGTAATTTATTAGGTATACGATAAGATTGCGTCTCCAATAATATTAGTAAACATTTATAACATTTTTTAACGATAGTGTAGCTTTCGGACTAAGTTTATCAACATTGGCCACATACTCATGAGAAAACAATTAGAATCTCATTATTAATTGTATACGTTCGATGCTCCCCGCATTGATTGCAAATAAGTTCATACAGATAATAACAAATAACTTTTTCAGTAAACGCATTAATTTAGATTCATAAATTGTTGACTTTTTGAATTATTTTTAGAAAGAAAAATTCAAAATATTTCTAGATTGATGATTTTTGCCTCGTTGCAAAAGAACATTCATTTTTATGACTATTTTTTTCAAATTTAAGGTATATTTCAACAAATTTGTGCAGATCCTTTGGTTTTATCATTTATCTCTTTGATCTACGAGTATGGCAAATACATTTTTGACGTAAGATCATGTATCCGTAGATATTTATTTTCTACTTGTTGCGTAAGAGACAAATAATTTATTACTTACTGCTCAATACGTCACCAATGGATGAGTAGAGCTCCACAATCGTAATAAATATGACGGACGATACGGCGATTTTTCGTTCTATTATGTTTATAGCTGCTGCTGCTGCGTTCGAAGCAAGTACGCGTTTTCATTGACCGTTACTCATCTTTGACATTGCTAAGCTTTTCACTCGTGTGCATGCGCGCATTGATAATTAATATCTTCATGCCTTTGCCAAAGTACTCGATCGAGCTGCTCGCGCGCAGTCGATGATAACGTCTCACTGATATAGTTTCGTACATCGAGCCCTCGACGGCCTAAAAATACTCAATCAATTTTTTGTACAAATTGAAAATTTCTTTCATTTTGAAAGAGATATTTATTCGGCTGCTTGTAACGGCGAGATATTTGGTTTTCGCAGAAACGTTGAGAAAAATCCACCGTCACAATTAAGTTAAGATTAAATATGACGATAGAACATGTTTTCGTCAAGTCTGGAACTGAAGTGATGTTTGGATGATCGTATAGTACAGAAAAGTTGGTGAAAAATCGAGCCACTACATATCTCGGAACGGCAAACAAGTTTAAATGTGAGCCATAAGCGCTCTATTACGTCAAACATGCTACATGAGAATTTGCGCATTATTATTTCGATGCAATCAAAAACACGCGATATCGGGAGATGATTTTTTTTCCCCCTCGAAAGATGTTGCACTCGGCGTATTATTACAGCTCACAGCAGAGGCTCGACTGCGTGTGTAGTGCATCTTTTCTCTTGTTGCTCCATACGATTCTCGACCAAGGACTATAAATAGGTTCTCATGTTCAAAGCGATAAGTTAATAAAAAGATTTTTTTTCTCTTCGAGCCGCGAGAAAGAGAGAGAGAGAGAGAGAATTAACGATAAATTAATTTACACAAATATTGTATGATTGTAAAGCAGCGGCTAAAATGCGAAGAAGAGAAAATTCGAAAGGCACGAATCGGAGCAATCGGCAATCGTTTTTCGTTATCGATAATACGCCGCATATATGCTGATATGCAATGGCCGCTGACGCACGAACTTGACCAGGCAAGAGCAGCAGCGGCATAAGAGCTTTTGTAATAATACGAGTTTTAACGTCGGCTTGGACGACGATTGTTTTAGTTACATCGACGCCAACGATAAGCTTTGTAAAAAATAGCATAATTCCACACGTTGGAAACGCGATAGAGAAAAGTTGTATTAAATTTCGCACGCAAGCTGCGCTCGGCATTGATATTCAAATGTCTAATATAAAATAGAATTAATATTTTGTCGGTCCTCGCGAGAGCGCATGGATGTATAGTATAGGCGAAAGTACCAAAGACTTGACGATGGCCTTTTTTTCCCTCGTCGTAAGGAGTATACGCAAACTACCGAACTGATAAGTGGGTTATCGAGCGCTTTTATCAGCGACCAAGGTCTCCTGGTCAGTAGTATATCAATTCGTCTTGTATCAAGAGCTGCTCTGCCGGCCATGTAATACGCTCGTGCGGCTCTATACGAGCGTTACACGCACACGTTGCGCTCGAGCACGCAGGCGAAAATCGATAGAAAAAATCAATGTCAGGCTCGTATTGCTCGCTAATAAATAATATATACGCACACAGAGGCGGATGCAGCCACAAGCTCGCGTCGCGTAAAAGAGACTCGAGGAAAAAAACTGCGCAAAGTTCCAAGAGTCGCGAGCAACGAGCGAGGCTCGCGCGATTGATTTCTTCTCGAGTTGGCGGTTCCGCGTACCTGATCCATTGTAAGTAAGCGCAAAAATGGGTGAAAGTCGATCGCGCGATCGTCGCCTGCGTATATGTTCGAGCGCGGCGGTCCTTCGCGAGAACGAGAGGCCAATAATAGCGCAATTTCGCGAGCCTCTCCACTGCAGCAGGCGCTTTTAGGCGCGAGAGCTAATATATTACACGAGCTCGCTCGTCGTCGGCTAATCTCACTTAGCGCGCGCGTCGTCCTCGAGTAGTCGTCGTCGTGCTCGCGAACGCGATTTCTCAGTCGTGCACTCGGTATGCAGTTTTCTGCGCAGTTGTGTGCAGCAGAGCCCATTAGAGAGTCGCTCGCGTCCGCCCATCAGTCAGTGTCGTCGAAGGCGCGAGATCTGCTGCACTTGTGCTCGAGCGATCTCTCCGCGGCGTTAAATCTTCGAGGGATTTGCGCGCACACGCCTCGTCGGCGATGAAACCAGCCGTCGCGAGCCCGATCCTCGCCCGTAACACTGCTACCGTTGCTATTTGGATCCGCTCGGGTGAGAGGGTGGCGCAGAGCAGAGTTGCAGGGAGGTCGAGTGGCAGCGGCGGACCCAAGTTACACGCTTCTTTCTTTCTTTCTCTCTTTCTCAGCTTCTTTCGAATCTTATACTCAACGGAATACGAGTTTACTCTTTCACGCGACATTTGCGGCCGTTTTATAAGCTTGTTAATTTTTTCTCCTCCAGCTTGTCTTTGCACATGCATTCGCTACTCTCGCTCTCTACTTTTCTTTTTCTTCGCCACACTGCACGACATATCTGACGATTTATTTTGCGCCTCCTGCAACACTGCACACGCATATCATTCTCAGCCCCTTGTTCGACTCGAGCCTTAACATTTTAATTCTAGCTCGTTCAACGGATGCTTGGCTACAGACCACTGACATTTGACACAACGATAAGGCGCGCGTGAGCTCTTTATAATACGCCTATTGCGCATTGGTTAATCCGAATCTCGGTTACTCGTGCGTCGCTCGTTCCGTTTTTCCTTGTTTTCTTTGAGATATCCTTGTTGCTTAACGGAAAAGCCATTGCTTCAAAGAGCACGCAACGAAAATCAAATGCAACCATGATACTTCTTTATTTTCTTTCGTTCTTTGCACCGTTGAAAAAAAAGCTAAGAAAAAAGATATGTCAAAATTAACGAACTCTACTAATCCTAGCATTTTTTTATACCTTTGAACTTGATACTCGTACAAAGCCTGTCAAAACAATTGCTTCGTGTTTGTAAGCTTCTTAACTGACACAACTTCAAACAAAGTTCAGTAATGGAGCAAGTCCTCACGTGGATTCCCTTTTTACAACTCGTTCCCGTCCGTCAACAATGGTTTTCAGTGTTTTTATTTTTTATTTTCATTTTCATTTTCTTGCATCGTCGTAAATCATTTTATCTATTGACTTATTACTACTTGATCTTGTTGTTTATCGTAAATGTTTTGGTACGCGTGTATATAGTTATTATATAGCCAGTTTACTTTATGACCCGAGACAGATGCACGTTTACCGGTTTTATGTCATAGATTCCAAAATATTTTCAAAGACTCGCAAAAACATTGTTAGGTACGCCGTAATGAATCGGTGAAAATATTTTGAATGTTTCTGTATTCTGTTTATTTTAGCGATCTGTAGTGAAATGAATAAATAAATCAATGAAACGAATGTCACTTTCGATTAAATCCGAACTTTTTTCGTGTAGGATTTGCAGCAGGGAAGCGGCGGTCTCAACGGGCCTGGTCTCAGCGACATGCAGAGTTCGATTCATCATCTGAAAATTAAACAAGAGCCATTTCAGTTTTCGTCGACGGCGAGTCTTCCACACATGCATCAAGGTGAGCAAAATTTGTTACTACGCGATTAAGTTTTATTTTACTATTCGTGCGCCGGGGTTGTAGCACTGCACAGCGTCATGAATTTTTATTTATTTAGGAGCTCCCGTCGGATATTTTTATCAAGTATAAATAGGATTTTTTTTTAATAGCGCGTGATAAATCGATAAATAAAAATACATGCGGTAACATTCGTCAGCGCAGCTTGGCACGGTCAAATGATTTTTCATTGCGCCTGCGAGAGTGTCGCGGAATTTTGTCGTACGTTCGTAGTAGCTCCTCGACAAAGTGAAATGAATACGCTCATGAGTGACGACATCTAAGAAATGGATATACTCAACGCGTTCAATTTTAATATTTTCTTACTATTAGACGTTCGTTTTATTATTGTTTATTCCTTTCCTTTTTATATTGAAGAGCTAGAAACAAAAACAAAACAAACAAACAAAAAAAATATAGTAGTATACAGATGGCGTGAAATTGAAAAGAAAAAAAAATAAAGAAAAAAAAAATGCCTCGAAGACATCGAGGCATCGATCACTTGGGTTAATGCTTATTTCACAAGTATTCGCCGGTTGTAAATGTTTCGGTGCTAATCTTTGCCTCATTCCGGAGCTTTCAAAAAAGCGTCACAGAAGTAGCATATAAAAGCAGTGAAGCAGTGTGGCATGGCGCGCCGTTGCCGTGCGTGTAAGTGCCTCTTCTTCTTAGTTTCTAATAATACGAAGTGGCTGCTGCTGCTACTGCTGCTGTATGGTAAAAAGAGAGCCACAAAACGCCGCTGACAATAAGAGGGAGGAAACAAATGAGCGAGGCGTGCAACATTTCGTGTAAATGTATGCGTGCATTAGCCCGAGCAAGCTTGATCTATGGCTTGCATGCGACTAACTCGATTATATTACGCCAACTTTTAGCCCGAGCAGAGATCGTCAGATTTTTTATGAACCGAAGATATTTGCTGTCCCCACTAAAATTATTCGAAAGGCAAGCTCTCGATGCTCGTATGTTTTTGATCGATCATTAATCGTTATGATTATAAATTGAGTTCACGAGAAAACTTTATGATAAAACTTCAACTGCAAATTAGGAAATAAAATAAATCATAAGGATGTACCCAGAAAATTCAATGTATAGTCTGCTTTTGCACGACTTTATATTATGCGGATGCATTACAAAAAGCGTCGCGCGAGCTGCATTTCGAATGAATGAAAGTGTACGTTCGCGCTTGTTTATATCGTTCTTTGTTTTACGGTTATTTAATAATAAACTCTCAAACAAGTTGCATAAATCGGAGCATATATATAAATGATGTATCTTCTGGGAGTAAGTTATGAATACATTCGCTAATCGTTACGTAAATATTTATAATTTTCTTTTGCAATGTTTTTCCTTCGTCCGATTACGATATTTATATCGTAGATTCTCGTGTGCGTGCGGCTCTTCGGTTGCAACGTACTTTGCCATGAACGTGAACGAGTAATTACAGCCGCGGCTTTTTATCATTAAAAACAAACAATAGCATTGCCTCTTCGTCGCTCGGAAAAAAGATTCGACGAGTCGCGCGTTCGTGATCGGTTGTGTTACGATATTTTTTTTCCATTCTTTTCGACTTTACTGAAATTGAGATTCGTTATTTTTGGTTAATAACTTTTAGGCACAACAAGCAGTAAACGATAAAGAAAGTCTAATTCGAGGAGTACATGCGGCAAATTTGTTTTTCTCAGCCTACTGCATAATATACCACATAAATGACAAATACGAAACTTGAGGTTAAAATACTCGGGTTGGTCTTCTTTCAGTACAGCTCATCGTTTTTCTAGATAAAAAAGTCCCGCGCGCGCTCCAACTCGGCTCATTATAAAACATATTTGGCGTGTACTGTAACACTTTTTACGAAGAAAGCTCGGCGAGCTTCTGCTTAAATGACTTGTAATGAATAATTGTTGGAGAATTTATCACATTTCTACATGTATATCCACACATTCGTATTATATATAATGCAGGCTGTATGCAATTATGTGTGTACATTATGTTGTGAAGCAAAAACACGTGTTTGGCGCGCATAAAAGAAAAATTTATTGCCCTAAAGATGTGGGTGTGCGTGCGTGTCGCGAGCTTATACGCCTCTCGACCAATAATATTGTTTGTTTATTTTATTTTTATTTATTTATTTCTCTCAACTTACGTATTCGACGACGTCTTTAGCGAGTCGATATCGATACAATCGCTGAGTTATTCTTCTTCAATTTTTCGAGTTCATTTTATGTGCTTACAGGCGCTTCTATATAAGTGGAGTGGTGGTCTATAAGCACTTACTACTCGGACTAGTGATTCTCGGGCGATTTATTATGTATACAGTGTCAGCGATGTTAGCAAATAATTTGATGAATCTTGCAAGTAATTAAATTTCTTAGCCATCGATCAAAATGCCCCACTGGCGCGTGCTCAACGCTATAATACTCGTATACATATATAAGGCCTGGCGAGTCGTATACATTATTTGATAATTTTTGAGGAAAATATCTCTTAATTCACCGCATGGCATAAAAATAAAAAATTCTAGACGTCTTCTCTCATAACTATATCAAAAAAGTGAAGAAGTTCTAAATTTATCGCTATAAGCCGCTGGCGCGCATATTTGCGTGAACTCGGAAGATCATCAACAGTTTTAATAATTTGGACACTTTCTCCGTCGAGTCGCAGGCAGAGATCGAGAAGAATCGCGCGAATAATTTCATCGAACTTAAAAATAGACCCTGGACCGCTCGGTTGTACTATCGCTATTACTAAGCCGAGAAAAATTCGATACATCGAGTCGAAAATCAAATGTGATTTTACTGCGCCGCCACTATTTTACATTTTCTCTTGGAGATTATAAACAGAAACAATCCTATCTATCATCCGCGGCAAAGTGGCAAAATGTTATCGTGTGACGCGCACAACCCTCGTCGAGAGATGAACATATTTAATATCGCTCGGTCAAGTTTCGGCGATTAGCCAAAGTCTTTTTTCATTGATGCCTCGGTCGGTCATTATACTCTATCCGTCCACAAATTGTAATGCATTTCGCGTTGCTCGTACGTTTCCCTTGTAAGTTTCAGCGGCTCGGTTTTAGTTCGGAGATGCTCTATCTCTCTCCATGTTCGGGTTAATAATATATGAATCTAAGACCCGGAGGATCAGTGAAAACACGATTTTATGTATAAATATAGGAAGTAGCTATTTAAGCCGTAGACATAAAGAGAGAGGCGTGAGTTAAGCGTGCGCTCGCGGAGCCCACAGTGTATGTTGTAACCTGACAGGCCTTACCCCGCGAGCTTATCCCCGCGTGTTCGTTCGGGTTTGCGGCTTTACAATGCACACGCGTAGTGCTGCAGCAGGTCTATTTTGTGCTTCGCGTCGTCGTCGTCGTCGCTACCGAGGGAAGATTTTCTCATGCGGGCGCGAACGATCGGCCTGAGTATGCCGCGACGAGCTTCGAATTCCGCAAGCAGTAGCGCGAGATAAGTGCAAGCTACTTACATATGCAAACATCGAATGTGCTGGCCTGTGCGCGGTGATTCAGCAGTGAAATTGAAGCAACGCTTCCTGTTGCACACACGCCTTGTATATTATGCTGATTTCATGCCACGATAAAAGTGCCGAACGAATGACACCTACACCTTTCGGAGCGTCGCGATGCAAGGCGAAATTTTACACGACTCCCAACACGACTCGTCACGTACGAATTTTGTCGAGCGCATATATACTCTTGTACGAGTACAGCTTCGTCTGCCACCGTACAAGTTGAATCAATTATTTCACGAACTAATCATTTTTTAGATCATCTGAAAAAAATCGAGGAGTAGCGTGTCGATGCGTGGCGCTGAAATATTATAACGTTGAACGATCTTCCAAAATATTATGGCATCCGTCGAGCACATGGACATTAAATTGCTATATTAATGACACTCGTGGGCAGACACGCAGCGATGGCCAGGCCAGCACGCGTCGTGCGTGATTTTCGTCGGTTCCGAATAAACGCATAAAATCGGCAATAAGACAAATTTTTGAAAAATTTTCCTGTATCGTTTCTAATAATAGCCTCGAAGCAGTGCGTTGATACGCAGCTGGTGCATATAAAATCGCGTATAGACATTAAAAACGAACGAAACTCGGCGTTAGGCGAGGACGCCGACGCTATCAGATCGACATTGACGTTTGGTGCAATTCAAGAACTTTGGCAGCAGCATAAAGACTTGTATACAGAATCATTCATTAATACGAGCATCTTAATAACTATGAAAAAGACTCGTACGAAGCGATTCAGCTGCAAAGGAAGCAAAGGAGGTGAGACGAAGACGTTGGATACCGATTGGCCGTAGCATAGTATGTCGTAAATATACGCGCGGATCGATACTGGAGCGACTATATACATAAGCCGAGAAAAGAAAAACACGTGTTCCGAGCATCGATCCGCGCGCGTCATACGTGCAGCGAGCCGTGACGGCCGTGACGATCGGCTACACACACACACACTCGTACTCGTGCTACTCATCATCATCGCACTGTATAGTTGAAACGCCGCACGGAAACTGCGATCGAGCTGCTGCTCGTGTGCAGATAAGTCCAGCTCAGCTCCGCGCGTATCGGGATTTTTTTGTTATCGGAGGCACGCGGGTCTCTCTCTCTCTCGCTTGCAGTCGCGCATAATACACATGTGCGCGAGGCTTGCGAACGACGACGACGCCAAGTAGCCGGATAAACTCGAACTTGCCCGCGATGACCCCCTGGCCCGTCTTGGAGCAGCGTGTATATAAGTATAAGCGAGTCGTTGGCGTGTTTTCTCGCGCGATCTCGAGTGCGTTTAACGATACTATACGTCGATGCAGCGCAGCGCCGGGGAAAGCCGGAACAAGTGCCATACGCACGAGATACGTATAATTAGATACGGGCGCGGGCCATATCAGTGCTCTATATATGCACCGTTTTTAGTGGCTCTCTTTTTCCTCTCGAAATTTCTG